GGATCGTAGAGGTCCTGGAAATGTTTTGTCGTTTTTTAGGATCGTAGAATTTATAGAATCATCTTATAGAATTATAGAATTACCGACCTCGGCATCATCTTCATCTTCCGCCTTCGCATCAGAGGCATCGTCGAAAAGATCCTGAACGGTTTTTATATTTTGTATTTTCTTAACTTCGTAAATAAGCTTTAAACTGAAATCAGCGTTATTTCTACATCAAATCTTTTATTTTAAACGAAATACCTCAACATCCTCTTCCTCATCGGAGTATTTGGCGGATTTGGCTTTATCGGCGGCCATGGCCTAAAAGAATTTTTTTTTGAGTGTATTTACAACAGAAATTCAAAACAAATTATGGAATTTTTTTTAATCAGTAAGAACATTACATTTAACGTAGATTTCTAAAAGGAATTTTTCAAAAAAGTTGCTTTTGATCATTACACAAGTCTCGTACCTATTAAATATTTGTTTATAACGTCAGTTCTGAAAAAAATATTGAACCTAAAGGGGCGTAAGGTGTTAAAAATCACATTTAGTTTTTTGCAATTTTACGAGCAATTTTCAGACAAAATTAATATAAGCTTTAATAAAGAATTCTTCTGATGTAAATAGGATATTTTTAAGGTAAACAAAAACACCTTAAAAATCCATTAAAGAAGTTAACCATCAATTAATGGTATCTAACTAAAATACGCCTAAAAACAGCATTTTCAAAAGTTTGTATACCAAAAAGTACGAGCTATTTAAACAGAATATTTTTAAGGTAAGAGAAAAGGTCCTACAAAATTATTAAAGAGAAGGTAACCATCAATTAATGATATAATTCTGATGGTCTTAATGCGGGAAAGGGGCGCAGATGTGTGGCGCGGGCCTATACTAGGACTATAGCGGCGGTTTTCCCCGTCGCCGGCACGAATCGATTTTTTAAAGGGACTGGGAAGTGCGGGTGCGGCAGGCGCGCCATTGGGCTGCGTTGTCGGGTGCACCGCGTAGCCTCTCTCCCACTGGCTGCCTGCCTCTCCGTCTCTCTCTCCCCGCTTTGGCGCTAGCCCAAAAGAGAGCCCCGGCCGGGGAAATGGGCGAATTCAAACGCGTAAGGGATAAGATGAAAATGCGCTTAAACTTAGATACAAAACAAATTTGAAAACCTAGAAAATCCGAAAATTATCATTAAAACATGAAATGCTAAATACGCTAAAATATTGTTTTTAGAAAGAAGCAACTAAAAGTTTAAAAAGCCTGAAAATGCATAGAGAATCAAAGTCACAAAAACCCAAGAAAAGCTAAATACGCTGCAGATAGTTTTATGAATCCGTTAGAAGCTAAAAAACTGAAAAAGCGAAAGCTGATAGTTAAAATGTACTTAAAATCCACAAAAAATATTTTATCTTAAGAATTTTATTAAATTTCTTTGAATGATTGAATTTTATATTAAGATTTGAAAAGGATATGAGGAATTTTGTTTTTTAGAAACAGAAAAAAGTTGAAAGCAAGAAATCACGAAAAATTTTAAGGTGAAATCTTAGAAAAACAACAAATTTAGAAGGAGCTCTCTACAATGCCTGGATAGAATGAATTGAGAGCCGCGTATTGTTCATAAAGCCTTTAGAAGCGGATAAAAGCTTACGTTTTCATAAGAGCATTGGAAAAAGCCATGGAAGCGGCTGAGAAAATAGACGTTTTGACGGGAAAATAGCGTAAAAATGAAAGAAAAAAGCGGAGCAGGTATCACGAGTTTCAGGTTTACTGGAAAGGGGGTAATTAATAATTTTTTAGAGCGCTGAAAAGTATTTGGAAATGAAAATGTCCTATCCGTTCAATATTTCCAAGAACCGAAAAAGTCACAACCTCCTTATCACTCCAGCTAGTTCCAGGCGAGGACGCTCCTGAAATGTGCCCCTGGCTATGGTCATTAATGCGGGTAGCAGCATAGCTTGCCACATCTGTAGATCCAGGACTTATCACTTGTGCCAAAACCGCCCGTACCCAAACGCTTAAGAGAAAGTTCAGAGAAGAAGAAACTCGCACTTCCGAAGTAAGTTCACGAAAAACGTCGTGACAGGTGTTTGACAAGAACATGAACTGAAAAAGTGCCAGCCAATAAGCTAATTGTGGCGTATTGTACGTTATTTGAGTTGCATCTGTGATCCACAATCGCACATCCACAGGCACAAAATCAAAAATGAGCCTTAGTTTGTCATTAGGAACCTGCGTGGATTTTGTCCCTCCTAGTGATTTTAAGAAAAAATAAATCCTTTTTGATTTTATCAGTTTATGGCCGGTTCTTCATGCACGCCGTTCAGGTTCCATTAAAGGGCTGCCGACGGCATGTGTCGATCCCCCCCCCCCCCATCAACAAATTGGCAAGTAGCCAACAGGGGAGAGAGCGCGCCCAGGGGGGAGGCGCAGAGGCATTTTCTTTTCCGCGCGTAACCGATTGACTATGCAGTCGGCATCCCTTTAAGTCATTTTTGCTGCCGCTCTGTGCTTCCGACTGTCCGGATTTTTCGCTTTTGTCGGCATTGTATTAGAAAACTGGCTTGATAGTGCCCATAAAACACTTTTAAGTGATCTGTTAATATGACGTGATGTTAAATGAGGTGGTTTGTAAATTTAATGCATCTATATATCCATAAGCTGCGATACGAGATTTGGCATTAGTCCGCTTGCTTCACCCCACACGCCGCGTCCCCCTTCCTGGCCAGCTTCACCTACCGTATTTCAGCTCCTCCTTGCCTATAGGGTTGTAAAGCGCACCGATAGATTCGTCAGGCCGTCAGGTCGGCAAAGAGAAACATTTTGGTATTTTATACAACGTCGGAGGTTAATTTGGCCCCGAAATGCAGTAGTTGGGAAAGGCGGGTCCACCAAAGCCAACCAAGCCGACCTTCCCAGTCCCTTTAAACACCAATTTTCAGCGTTCTGGATGTAACCCCCATCAACAAAATCCCTCCACTTGTTTTCTGTTTTCGGATACTTTTTTTCTCCCGTGGAAACCCTAGTTCCAGGGGGTGACCGTAGTCGGATCGGCTGGCTGGGTCCCGTTCTGGGTGGATGGGCGGGACCGGGGGTGGGCCGGGCCTTCTGAATGGGCCCCGACCCATCCACCCGATTCGGGGATCGGCCACGACCCAGCATGATGCACATGTCCTCCCCTAACCTTTGGCCGTCATTTGGACGGGGTTGTAGCTTTCGTTTTATTGGATTTATCTGCCATCAATCTTTGGTTATTTCAGAATAAATATTTTGTTTTTTTAAAGGGGCGGGCAAGTCATGGCTATGGATTTTTGGGCTACGGATTTGCTATGTTTTGCTGGACCGCGACACGCAACGCGCGCGCCTAACCAAATTTTGATGGCGTAATCGGTTGCGCAACGGAAAAACAGGGAGCGGCGTGTTGCGGGTCGCGGTCTGAAAATACGGGGTCCTCCCTATTGTCCCCTCCCCCACAAAAAAAAATTTTTTTTCCAACAATAATTTTTATGTGTGGTAACCTTGAAAAAAATCGGAAACGCATGTTCAAGATTTTTTCAGCATTTACTATCGATTTTGCCCAGCCGCAATACGCGACGCGGCTAATTCATCATCCAATGGAAAAGCTAGAGCGCGTAGCGTGTCGCGGCTTGATGAATTTCAAAGGCACCTATTGGTCACCGCAGTAAAAAAATCAAAAAGTTCGAATTCAAAAAGCTTATGAGTTTCATAACTGTTTTGGGTTTTTCAGCCGATAAAATTAGCTCTAGATTTTTTAGATCGAATTATGCAATTTTTGGAGGGTCGCCAAACCCCTAGAAATGGTTTATTCGCCCAGTTCGAATCGTAGAATCCACGTATCAAGCTATTTGGACAACAAATACTCCCCCATACCTGGATACGAGCTTTGTGGCAGCGTGTCTCCCCTGCCTGGTGCATTGTCAACCTATTATCCGGATTTTCATTTAGGTGGACGCCCAACTGTGAGCAGGCTATCGGCGGGTGGGACACAATATTGCATATCCAGCTTTATGGCCAAATCATAGGATCTTTGGCCAATTGTAAAAGTTGCATACTAATTTGGGATAGCTCCTAAAAATTATCGTCAGGTTGTAGTATCACCTTTAAAGACTTTATAGATTTTTAGTTTATGTTACTGATTTATCGGGTTTTAGGGTTTATAAGGGCAAGCCCATTCTAAGCCTAAGCCTAAGCATAGTTTTATGCCAATACCTAACCTAAACCTAAGCTTAAGCCTAAGCCTGAGCAGCCTAAGCTTAAGACTCAGCCTAGGCCCAATCCAAAACTATGCTCGTCTGAGGTTCAAAATCATTCAGTTCAAAATTCTATTTGAAATCGCCGCCTTTTATTAAAAAGCAGCAAGCAAAAACAGCAACGTTTTCCGACGAAACTGCCTACCTTTAGGGAGCAAGATTCACATTTCGTAGCCGGGGGATGAGGAACTTGGAGGTGGGCCGATGGCCGCATGGGATAAGCCCGATTACGCGCCTCACCCACGTGCTTAAAATTCGTACATCTTGCAGGCGAAAAAACACTTCGTTCATTCGAGTTTGCACAAAGGCAAATCCCTTGTTTTTTATCGTCAAATTTTCCGTTTTCCGGAGGTTTTTGCGTGACGAGGACACTTCAGAAAACCTGCTGGAAGCTCCACCCTAGCGTCTCAAGTTTCAAGCGATTTCCTAGCGTAGCTAGATGGCGCCACGTACGCAGTAATCCTAGGCCTAAGCCTAAACCTATACTTAAGCCCAAGCCCAAGCCGGAGCCGAAGCCTAAACGGTGGCGTTGCGGCCGACGGGCTTGTGGCTCATATGCTCGACCTGTTTCGTAATCCTGAAAACGCCGCTTTTTTATTTACATAATTTCCGGTTTTTTGGATATATTAGATGAGTTTATAGGATCGTTTTAAGTTCGGTTTTTAAACTCTCAATTTAAACTTCCAAACTTTAGTTTTTTGCTACCGATTTTTCTCAATTTTCATGTCCTCTGTTTAAACCACTGACCTAGGCATGGGCTCATTGCTCGCCGGAGTCGGCGACCTTGTCGACCTCGACGTCGTCGGCGCCAATGGCCGGATCTCAGCCTTCGCCCCGCTCGAGCCGAAGCTGTGCCTCAGCGACGACCTGAAGCCTTATGCGCTACTGGGCGACGTCGAGGAGAAGCCCCTCTACCTGCCCTTCCCTTCGCCGGCTCCCGGTGGGTATTGGGGGGCGTTTGGTGTAGCCGAATTCGGTGATAACCCTGAATTGTTATAATCCGGAACTGATAATGCCGAAATTTCATAATGTTCAAGGTATTATAGTTTTCGGCATTCTGTAATTAGGTTTCCCAAATTCGAAATTTCGCAAAATCGGCGCGTGAAAACTGGCACTTCCTGAGCGTCCGTATTATCGTATTTGGCACTACGACGATTTTCTATTGCGAACCGCGTTATAAAAGTTTGAATTTTGACAATTCGGTATTTTAATCAATTGGTATTCTGACATTTTCTTCATGAAAATCGGCATTTCGGAATCTCGGTATTATGAAAATACGGCGCTAAAAATTCAAACTTTTCGCAATCCGTCATTTGACGGTGCGTTTCCATAATTAAGTCATTTCAAGAGTTCTGTGTTGCGTAATTATCACACTTTTATTGTACGTCGACTACTTCTCATTCCCCATCCTGTCATCAGTTGTAGGTTGTACCGGGTACCGTAATCCTGCGGAAGTCTTCTCCCGCTGGTTTTGATTTTTTTTCTAATCACTTTGCACCCCGCACCCCCATTTCCGCCGTTTGACTCACCAAAACCTGGTTGTGGGCGGTATTTTGCAGCACTTTTTGCCCTCACTATCCACCAACACTGGATTACGGTGTGACGGGGTACAGTAAGCCTCGGGAAAAACCTTGCGGAAAGCCGACTTTCGGGGACTTTTGTGAGATTTCCGGCGCCGGGCAAGGATTTGTATGCGTGGCGTAACGGCGATTTTGGGTTTCACGTTTTTCTTAGCGTTTTTAATAGTTTAAAGCTTTTTAAAGTGACTTTATGCAAATTTTCGATAGTTTTGAGGCTGCAAAGATTTTTTAAGGGTCAGGCAAGGGATAAATCGGGGTGATTTTATCATGATAGCATTTACCGCACGCCGCGAAACGCGACGCTTGTAGCGTTAGAAAAGAAGCGTAATCGCTTACGCAATTTAAATGTTGGGCGACGTGGGTTCAGAAACCCTTGAAAAATCCGCTTTACAAGCTTCAAGCTTCATAAGCCGTCTTATGAACTTCAAAATATGATTTATCTAACGTAATCGGATTCAGGAGCACGAATTATCATTTTTTTTAACCTTTCTTAATACACATATCAATCTCTATAATAGATTTTTCTTCGTGTAATCGTATTCCAGGACCCTCCGTTTTCTTTCTAATCCGTCCTGCCATCAGATCCATTTTTGTAAATATTGTTCCCCCCACGTGGCAGCCCATTCTGGCATGCTGACAGCTTACACATGGCGGGTATTTTTGAATGTAGGGATTTCCGAAGACGCAGTTCCCCCCTTCTCATTGTCATTGCAGGGTGAGCTGGCGTAGAACAGAGTTTAGAAGTGATGTGATGCTTACCGGGGAAGTTTGGAAATGCTGAATGTGATAAATTTTGTAAAATCAGAGCAAAAGGCCTGAAAATTCCGGAAATGTCGGCAACGCTGAAAGCAAAAGTGTTGAAAGGAGCGTCGCGTAGTCCGGGCTTGACTACGCGATAATCCAGTGGACGGACGAACGCTGTTCCTTAAAGGAAAGATAGAAAGCCAGCCACTCTCTCTCTCTCTCTCTCTTCTCTCTCTCTATCGTTGTCGCTCGCTCCTTTTCCCTATTTTTCCTCACTATCAATCCTTTGTTTCTCGGCAATTAGCTGCGCCTCTGTCCACTGTACACTTCCGTAGCTCTCCGTTGCTGAGTATCATTGCGTAGTGGCGGCGACAAACCACATACTTCACCCCCAGCATCCCCCCTCTGATCTGGCCATTGTCTTCCACTGGATTCCACCACAAAACAGAAGACCGCCGCCTGGTCAGAGAAGAATGGGGCACAATGAATGGCTCGGGTCGGCCATTTAATCTACCATTTCTGTTTTCGGCCCGATCTGGGACCCACTCCTTCACTAATAAAAATCACGAGACCCAAAATTGGTAAAAAGCAAAAAAGGCGCGTACTAATTGTAGGTAACAATGGGTGAATAAGATTGAAGTTTGGGTTTTTTGGGGTTTGTGTGGTCGGATTGGACTTTTGTATACTGAGTATGAGGAGAGAGAGATAGAGAGGGAGAGAGAAAAAGGGAGAGAGTGAGAGCGAGAGAGATAGGAAGAGAGATGAGAGAGAAAGGGAAAGAATGCGAGAGAGAAAGGGAAAGAGTGAGAGAGAGAGAGATAGAGAGAGAGAGAAAGGGAGAGAGAGACGAGAGAGAGAGAGAGAGGGAAAGGGAGATCGTGAGAGCGAGTGAGATAGATAGAAAAAGAGATGAGAGAGAGAACGAGAGAGAGAGAGAACGAGACAGACGGAGAGAGGAAAGAGATAATTACAGCATTTCTTGCATAACAATAACATTTAGTGTTGAATTTCAAAATACCTATTTTTGGCATTTTTACTTTCCGATCGGCTTGCGAGCCAAGGCCCAGGCCACCTGTTAAAATTGCTGATTTATTCCGGTACGGCGGGTTGAACCGAAGGTGAGAAAACATTCCATATTTCTGTTCGCTTGAAAATACTGTTATTCCAGTTAGGGATACTGTATGAAAGAGTAGGTTTTTCGTTCAGTTTCAATCTATGAAAAAGAGAGGTTCCTATGATCCAGAGAGAGTGCGTGAGACATAGCAAGAAATAGAGAGAGAGCGAGAGAGAGGGAGAGGGAGAAAGAGAGAGAGAGAGAGAGAGAGAGAGAGAGAGAGACAGTGTTAGTCAGATTTTCAAAGCTCACATCATCACTCCCGTTGATCCTGTTTTCACCACCCAAACCAGCGGCCCCCGATTCCAAATTCAGCCCAAGATCCGGAGATTTTCCCGAAAAAGCCCGGCCGCCACGCGGTCGCCCCCGTTTTCGTGTAGATGATCCCCTAGCAAGATCCCCAATCCCCCACGTCGAAATCTCGGGAATTAGAAGCTGCGCGCCGGGGGGTGGGATTCATGAAGGGAAGAGATAATCCCGACATCGGGAAAGACCTCCAGCCGCCCCCACGGCATTAAAGACACCCCCAGAATAATTCTACACAAAAATATTTGCTTGACAAAGCGGAGCGGGATCACGTCACTTTAATAGGGTGGAGGAGGAGGTGGAGATGCTGGAGGGGTGGATGGACGAGGGGATGCTATGGACAAGGGTCTTTTTGGGACCGCCCCTGGTGCCTCCACCGAGTCTGGGCATCGAGTACGGGCTGGGATTTGGATACGGTGGGTTCTGATGCTCGAAAAAAGTGGAGTTGCATTTTCTGGGTTACGGTGCTTCTTCTGATGAACCTGGGTTTGGGAGGGGGCGAGAGCGAGAGTGAGATAGAGAGAAAGAGATAGAGAGAGCGAATGTGCAGACGAGAGAGAGAGAGCGTGAGAGCGAAGGATAGAGGAGAGAGACGGTCGTCCGGTCGCTGGTACCTTTAATACAATAACCGTGCCTGGCAAACATCGGAAACAGAGTAGGAGCCTTCAAAATTTTTCGCTAAAAAATTGTGCCCCGATTCTCTCCCATGCACTTTCACTCTCTCTCTCTCTCTCTCTCTCTCTGTCTCTCTCTCGCTCTCTCTCTCTCTCTCTCTCTCTCTCTCTCTCTCTCTCTCTCTCTTCTACCCTAAACACCACAAAACCGAGGTCCCCTTCTATTCCCGTAAGTGTGGACAGCTCTCGAAAATCCGTGTTGATCTGTTTCCGTCTCTTTCCTACTTACGTTTAATGAGAAAAATCTCCAATTTCGGGTGGGACCAGTCTAAAAATATGAATGACGGGATGATCCACCCGGATCCACCGGATGAGAGAGTGGAGAGGCAGGGCGACAGGGAGCTTAATGATGTTTGTGTTTTTGTACTCACCCCGAAAAGTCGGCATTTCGGGGGTCTGGGGCGATTCATTGGCACGGTTGGGTCCATTTTTGGTTTGTGGGTGGGCTGATCTATCCAGAGCGGGCCCGGGGATTAGTAGTACAGCCCCTCCCCCTAGATTCTCGGACCCCACCACCACCAATCATCACCCGTATGCAAAATACCCTCGTTTTTGAAGATTACATAATTTAGGTTATGGAGGAGCTTAAAACTGTCTTAAATTTTTAAAGTTGTTTAAGCTTAAATCTCTCGACTTTTTCATTTGGTGGGCCTATTCTCGTGAGCTATCATACGCTCTCTCTACCTCGGGCGCTCTCGCTCTTTCTCTCTCTCTCTCTCTCTCTCTTTCTTTCTCTCTCTCTCTCTCTCTCTCTCTCTTTTTTCTTTATCTCTCGCTTTTTCCTACTACCTCCTTCTCTAGCTGTATCTTTCCGCGTTGCTGCTGTTTTATTGAAAGAGAGAGCGAGAGAGCGAGTGCGCGAGGGAGGAGAGAGATATCGAGGGACAGAGATAGCGGGAGGGTGAGCGAGAGCGAGATAGAGTGATGAATGGAGAGGGAGTGAGAGCGAGAGAACAAGAACGACAAAGACATAGCCATCAAATTCTCGAATTGTCAAATTATTACATTTTTGCTACCTCGTTTGGCCAAAATTCCAATTAGGTTTCGGAAAAACGCAAATTCTACAAAAACAAAAATTTTAGCAGTTGTGAAATTATCACCTTTACGAATTCATTCACCTGCAAAATTTCATCAGATTCTGCATAAAATTCCGGTTTTAAAAAGAAAAGATAGGGGAAATTTTAGAATCGAGAGGTTTACAGATGATTTCATGAAAATTCGGGCTTTCAAAAAGCTTTTTAAAAAATTTGTTTTAGGTCGTTCTAAAATTCGGTTTGTACGAAAGGAATTCTATTTACTTAGTCAATTAGGGTCTTATTCGTTAGCGGGGGGGGGGGAGAGTGGCCCGTCAACCCCAATCCTTCCCTTCCCTTCCCAATCGCCTGTTGGGACTCCCCCGCTAGTGAACTAGTGTCCCCCGAATTGGAGCCATAGTCAACTCGCTCTCGTTATTCAGCACCTTTTCCATCACCTATTACCGTATTGTCACCGCCTCCAAATCCGGACAGTCGAGTGAGAGATACCATAGATCAGCCACGTGTACCCATAATGCTAAAAGTATAAGGGGCGGATGCTATTTGTTGCCTCATCCGGGCAGAAGGGCAGATTCTGAAGGCGAGATGCCGTCATTTTTCTGAATCTGGCCATTCGGAGGAGGAGCCCCAGCAATGATCTGACGGCTTTTGTAGGCAAATCCGCCCCTCCTCCCCACCGGTGCGGGGGTTGAGCCGGCGTGGGGCCCACGCGGCCACCACCATAGCTGCCGATAGGGCCCATTTTTGGGCCCAGGCGATGACTTGGCCCCAGCTTCAACTTGATGCCAATTTTTGGATCGTAGAAATCTTGGACCTGTTTTCCCTGAAAAATCACTGCTAGTTTGCCATCGGTTTTAGTCTGCTTCTACACTACTAGTCCAGAAAAATTTCCTGGGTGATCTCTGCTAGCTTGCCTCGACAGGAAGGACTTTTCGAAATTTTTCCGGGGCTAAAACCCGACTAACCTTGCGAATCCCGATTTTGCGAGTTTACTGATTGATCTTTGCTAGCCTGCCTTGGTTGGCAACGGAAATAAAGGCGCCTACCAGCTTAGATCTCAAAAATCTTGGCTAGCAGGCCAACGCCATGACGGAAAAATAGAATTCCTACTCAATGCTCGCACTTTTTGCAATTTCCTGAATGGTCTCTGCTAGCCTACATTGCCCCTGGGGAAAAGGACAAAATTCCAGACAATTCAACATATCTTCAAATGCCAAAAAAACCTCTGCAAAATTGCCTCGTTAACATCCTGAAAATGGGTTATCAGCACCAGATCAGCGTTTAGACTGAGATTACTGAAAATCTCTGCTAGCTTGCCTCGTTTTACCGTCAAAGCCAAGCAACATCCCACCTCTTCCGGCTGCCCAAATGATCTCTGCTAGCCAGCCACGTTTAGATATTAGCGTCCATAAATTATCTGTGCTGGCTTGCATCGAAAATTTATTAGCTAATTTTTAAATTTACAAAAGATTTAGTATTCCCGAGGCTTAACGGCATTTTCTGGTAATTCCCAACCGCTTCTTCCTGTTTTCCGTAATCTTGCTGCTTTTTTAACTCAAATGATTTCTTTTTTCTTTTGTTATCTCAAATGATCGCTGCTAGCCCGCCTGCCTATTTATTGTGTTCAATGCCAACGCATACTGCCTGATAGACCGGGTGTAAAAAACGGTCCCATGGCCCGGTCTCACCCCCCAAAAATGTCAAAACGGAAATGGCACCGACACCGGCACACACACCCCAACCGGGTGTCCGATTCGGGAGCCGATGCGCGCGTGCCCGGGAGGCACATCATCGATGGTTCCCATTGGGTCTCGTCTGGAGAGAAATGGCAGGCGAGAGAGAGAGGGAGAGAGAGAAAGAAAGGCTAAACAGCGACCTACACGCTTACCCATCCGGCTCGCTTGCTAATGGCAAAGAGAGAGAGGGGAGAAGAGGGACGGGTACGGTAGCTTTCCTCTGGCCAATGGGTTAGTTGGTATTAAATTTAATTAAAAATCAAGAATCTCAAAACATTGTTTCCTCCTCTTCCTGGTCTTCGCTTCAATATCTTCAGAAAATGAACTTAGCCAATTAAAAGTGAACTGCCGCTGCCTTGACCAGGTGCTTTTCGACCCGAAAAAACACCTCAAAAACGGCTACACACACCTGAGGGTTTGAGCTGATCGGCACGTCCATTAGGTTGGCCTAATTGGCTACCGTTCTCCTCGCGAGTCGTGATCTTTATTTTGCACCTGGGCGGCTGACTTCTAGGGGAAGTGCTCTTGGATGTGTGGCCATGATTTTGAATATGGGAAAGATTTGCCTACGGTTACTGTAGTGAATTTCTGAGGGTCTCGGAAAGCAGATTTCTGCTTCAAAATGAACGCTTCTGCAGCTTTTTTGGTCGACTTTTAACTTGCTAAGAAATAAATTCAACGCTGGTTCCGAGTAATCTCTCATTTTCTCTCTCGCTCTCTCTCTCTCTTTTTCGCTCTCTCTCGCTCTCTCTCTCCCTCTCTCGCTCTTTTGCTCTCTTTCTCGCGCTCTCTCTTTCTCGCTCTCTATCTCTCTCTATCTAAATATCTATCTCTCTCGCCCCCCTCCCCCCACTTCTCCACCAATGGCTCTTGCTCACTCTCTCGCTTCCGCTTTCTCTGGCCTTAGAAAATTTCCGCTTTTTCCCTTATTTTTGCTTCCCGGCGTCTTTCATCTTGTACTCACCATCACAAATCCAAAAACCCAACGCGATGCTCTCAAACTGGCCTAATTTTTGACTTCACACCCCTTTAAACGGGAACGCCGCAATTTTTTATGGTTCCTTCCCCCCCTGGCCTTCGGAGGTGGGGTGTTGATGGGGTGTTGGATGTTGCCATTCGGGAGGTGTCTGTATGTGGTGTTGTGTGTAGGGGAAGAGCAGAAAAGAGATGGCTCATCTTCTTCTTCTTCTTCGCCTGCTCCGCACCCCTACTGGGCTCGTTTCGGCGGGGCCCGGTTTCCCCTGCCCACCTATGTACTGAGGGGGAGTTACAGGTTCCTTTAGTTTCATTTCATTTCATAATTTCGTGAAAAATAAATTCTGACCAATTTATGCCATTAGTGATTTTGTTGTATGGATCATCATTTGAATGGCCTAAATAGTTGGCTCCTGAATTGTCATTAATGCACAATCAATTTATTGCTCCAAAAAGTGAAGTTGTATCGTGTTTAAGGACTAATTTAGCCAATTACCTTAAATGTGTCTAAACGCAAAAAAATTGCTCTCTTGCTCTCTCTCTCTAGCTCTCTCTCTCTCTTACTCTCTCTGTCTCTCGCGCCATTTCTGACTCTCGCTCGACCTCTCTCGATTTCTCTTTCCGTCTTTCTCGCTATCTCTCTCCCACTCTCACTCTCTCTCTTTCTCTTTCTCTCTCTCTCTCTCTCTCTCTCTCTCTCGTTCTCCTTCGTTACTGACTTTTGCGCGGATAACTTGGCCGTCCCTTTAATTACCCTTTCCGCAACTTTTAAAAGGCAGTTTTAGAATTTTTTTGCGAATCATCTACCTACCATTAATGCGTTCTTTTCTCGCTCCCAGATTCTAATTTTACTCATTCTTGTTGTTCACTTTATTCCTGCCTCTTTTTCATCACTCTCAAGTGCCTACTACTACGTCGGATTTTGCAGCGTTTCCACCGGAATTCCCCACGTCGTCACCCCCTTTTTGCTAAATTACGCTGTGCGGTGCGGCTGGCTACCGTATCCATTCGCCGGATGACCGTAAGCCTGCTGGCCCGCCCGACGAGCCTTGGCCCCGGGCTCTCCCTCTACCACCATCACTATCATCAGCACGAAGAGCCCATGCTACAGGGTACAAAAAAGGAATTAACGGGACCGGAAATGCATGGCTAGAGATTTGCCGCGTTGCGTGCCGCGGGTGCGGTGCAATCTACCGGGTTCCAAAGCCTTAAAAATCTATGGTTATGCCGTCCCGGCCCATTTAAAAGGGGAGTGGCAGCCTGGATTCGGCGGTTTTCTGATTCAGTGTTTTTTAAAATAGCCGAAACCTAAGCCAAGCTAAGTCCCAGTTTAAGTTACCAAAGACAAGGCTAAGCCGAAGTCCGGGCCTAATCTAGCCGAAGTCGAAGCCTAAGCCTGACTTAAGCCTGAGCTAAGCCAAACACCCTAGCCTAAGCCTAAGCGAAGCCTGAGCTGAGAATAAGCTAAGCCGAGTTTAGCCCAAGCTAGGTCTAAGCAATTGAAGTCGCTAAAGCTAAGCCTAAACGAAACCTAAGCTAGGCTTAAGCCAAAGCCTAGGCCTAAGCTTAAACCTATCAACGACAACATAAACTTCAATCATTAAATTATAATTCTCCTCCTTTTCCAGACCTTCCCGCCACCTCGACTACTGCCTGCAACTCCCCTTACGACGAGGTGACGTGCGTCGGCTGCGGCTTCGAGATTCGGGACCGATTTATAATGAAGGTAAGCTATCTAGGCAGCTCTATCCACTAAAAAAATCGCTTTCTATAGCAAGGAATTACATGTCGTAATCGGATATGAAAAATTAGTAAATTGGGGGATTTTAAGGTGATGGACGAGTGCTGGCATGAGGCATGCTTGCGATGCTGTGCCTGCAGCCGTTCCCTAAGCTCGAGTACGAAATGCTTCGCGCGCGACGGGCGGTTGTACTGTAAGGAGGACCATGCACAGTGAGTTATTAATTTCTGTTTTTTCCTTGTTGATCAATTTAATTGCTTAAATCTTAATCTGATGTTCAGCTTGGGAATCTCGTAATAGGGAGCTTTTTAAAGGGTCAGGGATGCTAAAGCGTGCTAATCCCGGCTCACTCCTCTTGACGGCGGGTAGCTGTGCGTACTCTGCTTTCTATTGTCTGGATACTCTCGATCAGACAAGTTTTCATCACCTATGAAGGGCGTAATAACGACGTAGTATTCCTGCGAAGAAGAAGACGGCTTTTTGCCGTTTCGGATTTAGCGCATTTTCACCTTTTGATCACATTTTCACGCCTACCTGGGCCAATTTTTATTTTATTATTCCTTAAAAGTTATTTTTGGCAATTTCCCAACCAAAAACCGTTTGGTTTTGCTTTCGTTTGGCGGTTTGCTCACCACCGCTCCGATGCTTTGGCTAGCGTTAATTTTGTTTTCTGTTTCCCACCCCCGGCTTCAGCTACTAAACCGTAGCGCCCCTTTTTTGTAGTTTATAGTTTATATATTTGGGAGCTTGTTGTAAACATTTAAAACTGGTTGGGGGCATATGTTTTGGGGGCTTATGGCCGGTTAGTCATAGCGTTCGGGACGCCGAGGAGCAGGGCAGACGGGAAGATGTTTTACTGTGAATCATGATGTTCCAGCAGAAATGGGGCAGTGGAGTAGTCGAATTTTGGAAGCAAAAATAAGGGAAATTTTGTAAAAAACCGACAAACGGGGAAACAGCCGAATTTTCGTCTTCTTGGTGTCTTTAGCCTTCTCTCTCTCTCTCTCTCTCTCCTGCCACCCACTCGGCTAATTCGCAAGCCTCCGCTCCCCGCCCCAGGCATCGCGTGACCCCATGGTCCCACCGGCTTAAACGGCTTGAAGTTGGTTGAAGCTGTGGGCCTCGAGAATCCTTCACACAATCACCCTAAATACATCCTTGTCTACACAAGGGTTGGCAAGAAGAGGCCACCTTGTCAATGCCCCAAACCGGATTCGGGGGGAATTGGAGTTTTTCCAGGAAATCAGGGGCCAGGAAGATTTCGGAAAGCGCTAGTAAATCGGGATTAAAATCAAAGCGATCCGAAAGTAGCTCTAAAGCTTTTTTACTTGATTTTGACGCTTTTCGAATTGTTAATCTCAAAATTCAGCTCTTCGTATCTTTTTCTAGCGGCTTTCAACAAGATTTCCGGCATCAGATATCAGAAATGCTGCGAAAAACGGGCTAGAAAAACGGGTGGCAGGTGGAAAAAATAGGATAAAACTGACTAGAAAAAGCGGATCTTTGGATTGGGAGGACAGATGATCATTGGCGGGTGCATAAGTACACGACACTTCGCAATGACGGAATATGGAAGGGGAAAATTGATATTATTGAATTTCGGATTTAAAGGGACCAAGAAGTGCGAGAATCGATGTGTTTATTCGCTGAATTTAACGTGTTTAGCTTGGTAGGCACTCATATTTTCGAAACTCATATTTTCGAAACTCACATTTTCGAAACTCGTAGTTTCGAAACTCATATTTTCGAAAACTCATATTTCCGAAACTCATAGTTTCGAAACTCATATTTCCGAAAACGGTTCTTGCGTGGGGGGGGACTGAACTTTTTTCGGCCCAAACCTAGATTTTCTATATAAATGGTGGAATTGTTTCTAAACTGTTTTACTAAAAAAGTAGAAGCACGAAAGAATTTTTTCGACCAAAAAACGACCAAATTTTCGACTTTTCAAGCGTTTTTCTAAACTTTTACAAAAGTTTTTCCTATGCAAATAGGTTCCTTTTTGTTTTTCCTATTTCCCCCCCCGGATACGCAAGAACCCCGAAAACTCATAGTTTCGACACTCATATTTTTGAAATTCATATTTTCTTCGGTTTTCTTAAGTTACCCAAGCAGATGTAAAGCTGTAACTATCAGTTTTCGAAAATATGAGTTTCGAAAATATGAGTTTTCGAAAATATGAGTTTCGAAAATATGAGTTTTCGAAAATATGAGTTTCGAAAATATGAGTTTTCGAAAATATGAGTTTCGAAAATCTGAGTTTCGAAAATATGAGTTTCGAAAATATGCACGCAAATCGTTTAGCTTCCTTTCGAGGGTCCGAAGAGTTGTTAAGTTTCAAAAAACCCAACTACACGTAAATCCGTCTCTTAAAAGTGCGCGTAGTTGCCTAGACCTAGCTGCTAGAGGGGGTGGATTTTGGCGCTTCATGTACCCTTTAATTATTTGAGAAAAGTTTCCTCGAAAAATTCAGGCCGATCCTTAGATTCCTGCTCCCAGTTCCAAGTCTTTTCTCACGCCAATCACGGCTACACTAGTCTACACTAGGCTACACTAGCCCTTCCCCCGGATATGAGATTTTGTTTTTCAGCTACCCCCATTTGAGGGTGTAATGTGGAAAGTGACGGAACTGTCAATTTCTTGCCCATCCTGCGTTGTCCCATTGATGCGAATGTGCGCGAGCCCGGGCGGTGATTGCGCAATGCAGCTGGCCCACACACCCCGGGAGGGGCTGTCACCTAAAGGGACATTCAAGGGAGAGGAGCGAGGCTCATCATAAACAAATCACTCCTATTTACGGTTGGGGGAAAAGGGAGAAAGCAAAAAAACCGGAAGTGAGGGATTTAGAAATTTGCCCCAAACTTCAGAATTCTGAATTAATAGAAATTCCCTGATTTTCATACCGTCAGCGAATACTCTATGAAATCATGATAAATTTGTAGCGTAGTGTATCCCAATGTACGTTAAACGTGCACACGCAACGTAGCGTACCCGTATCGTCCGGTGACGTACGGTAAAGTAGAACCACTGCCTCGTAAATTTGCGCATTATGTCGTCGTTTGCGTACTGTACCGTAGTCTTGCTAACTCTACCGTAGCGTGATGCGCCGTTGCGTAGCGTAGCGTACTTACCGCGTATTGTAGTGGAACGTCGCCGAAAGGAACCGGCCTTTGCGTCACTTTCCTTATCGCGGCGTTCCGTGGCTTTAGTAGCCTAACGTAAAGTAGTAGAGTGCACTATCATTAATGTGTTGCAGCTTGCGTAGCGTATCTTAGCGTATCGTAGCGCATCGTCGCGTATCGTGGCGCATCGTAGCGTATCGTACGATGCGTACAACGCGGAATTTGTCACTCTTCATACAGTAATCCTTGTTTTCGAGGACATCACTGAAATTCTGCCATTTTGGCGCGATTTTATTGGATTATAAGGGGCTTCCCGGGCGGCCAAGTTCGATCGGTGACTCGACATTAATGACAGGGTCGTCTGGCAGCTACACCCCCGACTACCAGATATTACTATGGACATCATGGGGGTGTCTCTCGTTCTGTGGGATAGTTGGTTAATCTCTCCCATCCCCCCCCCCCCCCATCAAATGCAATAATTATTGGCTTATATTGCCGATGGGGAGATCGGCGGGCTTCACAAGGGCTTCACACCTTCCCGCCCATTCTTATGCCGAAGGGGCGCCGACCATTTGGCGGTATGGAAAGAGTTGTTGAATGGAGGTTGGGGACCGGAAATATCAGAAAAAAATTGGACCTCACTCAAAAAATGATCCGATCGATAAAATTGAGCTATTGTGATTTTTTTAAGGCACACCCAGTGCGGTCTAATGTTCCTTTTTTCCATAAATTGGTCTGGTAGCCACACTCGGATATTTTTAACGCTTCTAGGGACCATAAAAGCAAAATCCTACATTATTTCTAATCGTTGGCCACAAGCCAACTTTTATTTTTGACGGTCCATGGTTCTGAAGATTTTCCGATTTTTTTTTGTCTACAAATACAATACCCTTTATCACTGGGAAAACAATCAGGAAAGCCGTTTTAAAGGCACCTTGAAGCCAAGAACTCTCGAGAGAACTTTGGGCAATTTTGAGGCAAATTTCCTGCAATTATTGGGCATCATGAGTCAGTAATTTCAGCCTAAACCTAGACATAGTTATTTTGTTGTTTTGTAGTCGTGTAGTTTTTAGGTTTTGCAGCTTTCTAAAACATGGAATTATGAATTTTCAAACACTGTGACTCTCTCGTCTCGCATCACTTTTCTAGAAATCCGAAGTTTGCTAGTTCAGTACCTCTGAAATCGTTTGAAATCGTACAGAATCGATACCCTAACCCTTAAAATATTCGCTAAGGTCCTAGTCATGCTCCCATCGGGCTACCGTATTTTCAGTGGGCCCCGGCTCCAAGACAGGAAAAGAAGACGTAGCCCCTGCGCCGTATTTGTGTATTTGCCCTGGGGCGATGCTGCTGCGGGGCGGAGGGTGGCAAAATTGCCCATTTCAAGGAGCGCCATCCATCCCTGCTTCTCTCTACCAGGAGCGTGAAGCCGATGGCAAACATTCCGCGATTTAGGGGTCAATAGGCGGAGAGGAGGAGGAGGAAGGGACCTGTAGATACGGAAGGGGGCAGCTGCCAGCTGGACATAGCCTGCCGGGTCGGTATTTGCTAACCGGAAATGATGAGGGGGGAAAGGGGTTGAGAAAAATTAAATATGGAAGAAGGATCAAAGGCATGGAAATTTTTTATTATAAACACGTATTTCCCCAAAGTATCTTTGCTAGACGCTCGCTAGAGTTCAGTCTCTTCTAGCCTGAGTTCAAGCTCGGTTTCGTAAAAAATTTCTGCAAGCTGCCGCCGTGGCCCGGCGAATAGCTTTCCAGCTTTAGCTTTCCGCTCCTTTAACTGTCTTAATCGGCAGAAGTTTTGGTCCGATTGCCGCAAAGACTCCCTGCTACATAGCTTTCGAGCTTCTAGCTTTGCGGGATCTTTAAAGCAACAATCAACTTTAGAATAAATTCACATGAAAAATGATAAAAAATGCTGATAAAACTCTAGATGGGGCGAGTCCATTAAATTTCTCAAGGAATCTCCGCTAGCTTGCCTCCTAGACCTTCAGTTGCCGGTGCCTTTAAAACATCTGAAAAATTACACCTTGAGCAATTATCACAAAAATCTCTGCTTGCTACCCTGATAAAATCGTCGCCCGACTCCCTTTAAACCATGTAGGAACAGGTTTGGAAAAATCTCTGCTAGATAGCCCTCAAGCTTTTTTGGGTTCTGCGTACCTTTAGGGCTTCTTAAAATCCTGGTTTCTCACAGAAATCTTCTCAAAGAATCTCTGCTAGATGGCCTGCAAGCCTTTAGGTTCTCGGTCCCTTTGGCCCTTTTCCAAAACCTCAAAATCCCGGGATAAAGTAATATTCTCAAAGAATCTACTTTAGATAGCCATCAAGCTTTTATGTCTCGGTCCCTTTATCCCACCCCTCAAGTATCATCTACCAGCCGGTCCTCAAACATCCCGGAACCAGCTTCTTCAACCCATTTTCTAAAGCTTCAAAGCGCCAGTCACCAGCTGACCCTTGCTACCGCCCGGATACGATACCCTTTGCCCCCCATCGATGGCCCTTGAAGTGGGCCCTGTATTGGGCGGAAGGATGGCTGTTGGGGGCCATGTATCCTGGGGGCAATAAGGGAGCAAGGACGCGATGCTCCTATGGCCACCCCCCTCTCCCCCCAGGGGGAAGGGGGTTGGCGGATATTGCGCCCTCTTGTCAACCGTCTATCACATCCACCTGCCTATGGGCTATACCCCTATGCTCCCCTCGAGAAGCATGCCCTTCCCGGAGGATTGGGGGATTTACCCAAAATTAGAATTTGGGGGTCCCGGGATTAGTAGCTGGTTGGAACCTAAGTAAGCTTAAGGAGAGTGAGTCCTAAATAAAGGGTAGAAATTTGATAGCGTAATGTATTCGCTATAGGTCGTACGCTTATAAAATTGCCAAACGGGATACTGTGAAAACCAAAAAACCTCACAAATACTGCTCCTCAACGTCGTATTTCGGTCTACTGCGTAGTTGTCAAGACCTAGTGATACCCGGGGGTATTCTAAAGTTTTCCAGCCCCTTGAAAACCGCAACTCCGTACTGAACTTTTCGAAAAGGGCATACTTACCGTAGTAGAAAACGGGCATGAATACTGTATATTTTCCGATACATTTTTGGAAAGAACAGTCCGCCATTCGGTAACCTAAATGGTATTACCAAAATATAACTTTTTCGCATGGATCCTGAGCCACTTCCGGCCACCTGGACATACCTTCTACCCCCGGGACACGGGCTTGACCGCTCTATGATTATCCGGGGAGCTGAGGGCGGATTATTGTCATGTACGAGTCGACCTATCCCCACTGCCCCCCGGATCAGTGGTGTCGATAGGTGCGTCGTGGAGGGGCAGCCGTTGGGCAAGAACAGGGCCTTCGAGGCAATCCGGGCTCGCCACTTGGGGATTACGGCTTCCCGCAGTTTTCGCGTACGGTAGGACCCTAAAAATCAGCAGCTGGGGGCAAGAAAAAATTGGGAAACCGTAGAAAAACAGCAAATTGTATACTTCGGAATTTAGAAAACAGATCAGAAAAAGCTCAAGAAAGAGAGGAGAGGGGTAGGGAGAGACAGGAAAGAGCGAGAGAGAGAGAGAACAACATAAAATATCATTTTTCTTTCCAGAATCTTCGGCCAAAAATGCTCGCGCTGCACGCTGCCGCTGCACTCGACGGAGATGGTGTTCCGCTCCAGAACCGGCGCCTACCACCCGCAGTGCTTTCGGTGTTTGCACTGTAGCAAGGAGCTGCAAACGGTTGGTATTCTAGTTCAATACCGTAAAAATGTAACGTAGCGTAGTTTTTCGGCTTAGCTACCAGTTTTGGTCTGTTTTGGAATACTGTAACCACCGGAATATCCAGTTTTTAGGGCGACAAATACGTGAACGTGGAGAATCAACTGTTTTGCTTCGAAGACTACCAAGCACTTGTCTTCCAAAATCAATTAGCATCTGGTAAGTAGCGAAGGGTAACAGCATAGTGCGCAACGTAGCGTAGTGTAGCATGACGTAAGTATCTTGACGTAGTCCATCGCAGCGTTTCGTAGCCAATCCTGAGCAACGTCACGTCCTTCTGTAGCAAATCGTAGTGTATCGTATCGCCCGATCCCGCAGCGTAGCGCGTCGTAGCTTAGAATTAACGCATCATATGAACACACATTGCATCGTAGCGTATCGTAAGGTATTTTACCGTATCCACCATATCGCTGTTATGGGAACGCAACGTATTGTATCTTATAGTGTCGCAACGGAGCATAGCGTATGAAATCAGTCGCTTTTTTATAGCTTAACATAATAAATGGAAAATCTGCGATTTCAGGCCTTCAAATCGAGTTCTACGAGCAAAACGACTCAAACAGAAAAACGCCAAAGCGGCCAAGGACCATCCTGAATGCAGTGCAACGGAAACAGTTTAAGGCGGCTTTTGAGAAAAGCTCAAAACCTTGTAGGAAGGTGGGAATTTAAAAGAATAGACGGCACGGAACGTAGCTTTAAAAGCTAACTAAAATTATATTAACGGCCTTTAAACTCCAAATTTTCAGGTCCGTGAGCAACTAGCCAAAGAAACCGGCCTCAGCGTCCGTGTCGTCCAAGTCTGGTTCCAGAACCAACGAGCAAAGGTCAGAAAGGTTTTTGAGTCTCAAAAACTGTAATTTTCAATTTCCAGATCAAGAAAATGTCGCGAAAAGAGGGGGATAAGATTGGGCAATGCGGGGACTCGGAGGGGAAATCGATTGAGGATCAGAAGAGTGACAGCGATGATGGTAAGGGAAACAGGATCGTTTTAACGGGCTAGACAAGGCATGGTACCGAATTTTTCTCCATAGGGATCCCTATGGATTTTATCGCGACACGCAACGCGCGTGCCAGTGGTCTCCCCTGAATGATCGTATTCGATTCCGCCATGAAAGGGCGAGCACGAGTTGCGTGTCGCGCCAGGCGGCAAAATCCCTGGGATTCGCTCGGCATACCTTTACCGGCCTTTTAAAGGGACAGACAAGGCATACTGATGAGCTTTACTGGTTACCGGTTCATCGCATACTTGTCGCGACACGCAACGCGTCAAAAGCTGGAAAAGGCCGGTGGACGCGTTGCGTGTCGCGTGGCTGTAGCATTCATAGGATTCCATAGCAATACATATACCGTTCTTTTCAAGGGACGGACAAGGTATATCCATGCGTTTTCTTTGCTATGGTTCTTAAGATTCTTGTCGCGACACACAACGAGCGTCGCGGGGCGGTCAGATCTATAACCTTGCCTTGCGCGTCCCTTTAAGAGAAATATAAACTACAAAATCCATACCTAAATGATATATTCATTTCCCACTTTTAGATTCCGAAACGGAAACCTGCCATTCTGGGATGACAAACACTGCCGAATCAGCCCACATCCACCGGCCCGAGCCGCAATTCCCGGACCATTTGAGCCGACTCTACGAGATGCAGAGCACTTATTTTCAATTTGGATAATAATCGTAATTTATATAATATTTTTTTAAGGAATTTTCTGAAATCGCTGTTTTTCCATTTTTATTCTCTATTTCCTGTACACGTTTCAAAAACAATTTTTTTAAGTTTTACAGCCCGCTTTTTTCTGCCTTACCCCTGGGATGTACCGTATTTTCCCCGCGTAGTTAGAGCCGGCTTCCGTTGTGTTGCCCCCCTCAAAATCCCTGTCAAAGCATTTTGTGCAATTCATCGTTTATAATTGTACTTTGCATATTATTTTTGGCCATACTCTTTTGACGTTTGTTTATTTGTGCATTCTGTGGCAAGTCCCTCTCTTTCTGGTCACTTCCGATTTTTTTTGTTTTCGTGGTTGTACTCAATTATTTTCAATGGCTTTGCTAAGGGTTTTTGGGCAACTTTGGCAAACCAAGCTTTAATTATTTGCATTTAAATTTTAAATTTGAAGCACATTAAAGTGACGGCGCAGTTAGACAACTTAAAGGAACCGATTGCGCCATGTTAACTAATGAATTTGGTTAGCATAGCGTAATCGGTTCCTTTAAGCTGTCTAGGGTTCATCTGCCGTTTTCCAAGCTGGCACTTTTCCTTTAGGCCCACAAGGTTAAAGCGAAAATGTACGAAAAATCAAAAAATTTTATTAAAGTGTAAATTTCGGTTCTATTTTAGTACTAGTTACGCTATGAAATCCTTTGAAAGGAGCATCTTTTTGCTGGCACTCTCCCTTTAACTTTCCTGAAAACTAGCTTTTTACCCAGAAACCCCCAGAGCAAAACCCGGCAAAACTGATTACGCAACGAAAACTTGCGAGAATTGTCTTTTACTGGGCTCTCCCTTAAAACCTGTTAAAAAGACACGCTTACCAAAACCGTACTTTCCAAAGTACGCCCCGCTCCTCTAGAGGCGTCCCAAAAAACGCGCGCACCTGTTTTTGCGTGTCGGAGCAGCCAAATTGTCCGGCAAACCGCGGCTTGCGATACTTTTCGTGATCCTCCTGCTCTCGGCTATCATCTATTTGTTTGGACCAGACGGTCCTGTCAGTTCATTCGTTGCCCGGCTATACTCTTCCCGCGGAAACTCTGTTGTTTTGACGGAAACCGCGGCATGCCGGGGGATTTTCCATCCCGGCTGGCTCGGCCCGAAAAATGGCCGCCCAAGAAGGGGAGAGCGGCCCGCGCGCGCCCAGAAAAACACGGCAAGTTCCGCGACGCGCCAATGAACGGTTTGGCGGGTATATCGTTTTGAGGCCCTTTGGAAATTAATGGGATTAAAAAGTGGTCGAAATTTTGACAAATTATTTTTTGGGCAAATGAAAATTTTTTTTAAATTATGAAATTCAAAGCTAATTTGGTTTTATACACGTTTAAACTTAATTAATTACCGATATCAAGTTTTCAATATTAATTTAAAATCTATAGAAATTTATATAAATTGGGGTTAACCGAAAGTTAAAACCCAATTTAAGCGGTAAGCCTGATATTTTCACAGCGATATTGAAAAGTATCGACTTATATTTAAAAATAGCTGTCTTAAACTTTTAAATTCTTAGTTTAGCTTATGAAAAACTATTATTATCCAATTTCCCAAATTTCCTAACCCGAAAAAGTCATTTTTTTTGATTCCATGATCAAATGCCATTCCAAATCGTCGCTTGCTTGCCCAAGGTTTTTCACAATTTTACGTATTTTACCTACGAACAGTTTGATTGGTGTAATTTGGTGTAATTCGTTCAGTTTGTACTTCTGCTGGCATTTTTATAATCTGCTTTTCTTGTCTACGATTTGCTGGAGTTCATGGGTATAATAAAGGTTTATTCTCGGAGCAGGTTTTAAGGAACCTAAAACACGATAAAAACCGAGAAACTGAAATATTGTGGGAGGCGGAAACTGAATTGGAAAAAGCCAATTTTCAAGTGATTATTTTCGGGATATTCATGATTGATAGGCAGTTTAATCGTCAAATTTTTAGACTTTGAGGCTGCTATTAAAACTAATTAAAAAGTCACAATTCCGTGTAAATTCACAAAATTTTCATTTTTTGCTTTAGAATGTACTACAACCATTCGAATCGCAAAAAAAACCTGTTTCTGGAATTCAAAATTCAAAAATCTTTTTTATTTTTCTATCAAAAAATGGGGGAAAAATTTTTTTTTTTGGATAAAAAAAAAGGGAAAAATTTAAAAAAAGTTTTTTCCTTGGTAGGGGGGGGGGAAAAAAAAAAGGGGGGGTTTTATTGGGGGGCGGGAAGGTTGTACTGTAGTTTATATAGCTATTTCGCAAACATTTAAAATTATCAAAATTATTGGTTTTCTTTTGGTTTGTTTTTTATTTATTTATTGTTTGACATCAAGACTCCCAAAGAAACACCACTTTTTCAGGCAGCCACCTCGCGCCAACCCGACCGGGGACCAGTCTCGGTTGCATAATTGCCCTCCTGGGCATCCTCCCCCCCAACGAGACCAGTCCATTTACGCCATCCACTCGGGGGGTCGAAGGCCGATTTCGTGGTCATTTCTTTCAAAACTCAAGCTATTGAACTTCAGTCGACTTCAAAAGCTCATAAAAGTCCCAAGCCGACTTGAAAACGCAAAAAATTCCTAAACTCAAAGCCAAGCCCCAAAAATGAAGACCCCAAGCGTGGCGCGCCTATTCTTCTACACATTTCTATTATTGGTACTCCGAAAAATCGGGATTGCGTTATATTCGATGTCTACGGTATTTAGGCACGGGAGTACGGTATCCGAGGAGGCGTTGGTGGGTAGAATTGTTGATATTTTGCCTGTAAAGGTTAGGAAATGCTAAAAAAAGCAGAAGCATAAAAAAGCCTGCTTTTCATGTTTGTAGGAAGCTAGAAAAAGCGAAATCATTCAAAAGAATACATTATCGGCGTTTTTTTGGATGGGGTGGGGGGGTTTTTTTTTTTTTTTTTTTTTTTTTTTTTTTTTGTGGGGGGTTGGGGTGGGGGTTTTGGGGGGGGGGGGGGGGGTTAAAGGAGCTTGGAAGGCACATGAAGTATTTTTCGTTATTGCAATTAGTTAAATTTGGAGAATTTTGCGTTTTATGCCTCGCTTGATAAATGCTAAAATGCACGTAGGAATACCGAGCATCTATGCTTAAAAATCAGGAAATCCTAAAATTCACAAAGACCCAGCCTTCCAAGTTCCTTGAAAGGGGTTAGCAAGCGGCAGAATCTACCCTTGTTTCGACTTGGTCTCGACAAACCCAAGCATCAGTTCAGAACCGAGAGAGCCCGCTTCCAGTGAACCGCCGCGCTAATTTTCTGTGTGTTTTGGCTTGTCGCGTACTTGTCAATAGGTAGTGACAGAAGGGGTCGATCTGGATGCTTCCCAGCCCCTTTAAAATAAATATTTAGCTGAAAAACCCTGAATTCCTATCGATGCTTCCACGACTCGGCAACGACACCTACGTGCTGTTTTTGAATCGCTACGCGCTCGACATGACGTTCAACTGGTTGTGCAACACGAGGGAGATGGAAGGTAAATGGTTTTTTTCTTGAATTTTCTAGGCTATGTCGTAAAATTAGTTTGAAGTTTGTAGTTTTTAAACTGTTGTAGTTTGTAGCCGTACCCCGTCCAAACAAAAAAATGTGCTCTCAACGGCCCTTGAAATACAATTTCTCGATACTCCCAGGTGTACATCAACGAGCCCTGTTCCTCACCATGGACCAGGAATCAACCGATAAATTGAGGCACCTTTACCCCGAGCTGAAAATCGCTCGCCTTATTGTGCCAGCGTTGGAGGTAAGCGTTTATGGGTTGAATTTTATAGCGTAATTTAATTTTCTGGCTTCTCAGTTTCCCAAAATCCAAGCCGTGCCTTCGCTGCTCCTTTAAACCCCTTTAAAATACTGTAACATTGTTCCTAGGATCCATTCAACTACGGTGACGGTCCCTACCAACTCTTCTACCTGCTCAGGGCCAACATAGCGTTGACGCTGGCCAAATTCGGGCACAACTTTTGGATGATACAGCAGGTGCCTAGAAAACTGAACAAGGTAAATCCGTTTAGGACACATTTTGGCGCACGCCACTCGCACAGACAATGTTGGAAAGTGAGGAGTTGCAAAAAGCCGACATTGTGTTCGATTCGGCCGGCACGAACACGAGCGATTTGATTGCAGGTTGGAGAGAGAGAGAGGGAGGAGAGAGGGGGGGGGGGGGAGAGAGAGAGAGAGAGAGGGGGGGGGGGGGGGGGGGGGGGGGGGGAAAGCAAGAGGTTGGGAGAGAGTAGGAGAGAGAGCGAGAGAAAGTGAGAGATAGAGACAGAGTGTGGGAGAGAGTAGAAGAGAGAGAGAGAGAGAGAGAGAGAGAGAGAGAGAGCGTACGCGCGCATGAGGAATTGTTTTTAGGCGGGTATTACTACGCCCGATCCACGCCAAAAACCGTCGACTACTTCGAAAAGCTGGTCCGGGATCTTAGCTGGTGGTACGCGCCAGACAACGGCTACATGACGTATCTTTGCTATCGACGGTTTGCTGAATGCGTGAATATGCCGTTTAGGTAGAGCATCACTCTTAATTAATATTATTCTTTCAAAAATGATGAAAAATTGGTAAATGAGTGAAAGGGGAATTCAGCTGTGTTACAAACCCCAAATCCAATTTTCTAAAAAGCATTCGTTTGCAGCTGGATCACAAATTGGCAGTGGATGCTCTACCCTACTTCTCAAGTTCCGCACCTTGTCCAATTTGACGGCTACACGCGTCTTGGCGGAAAGTTGGCAGCGGTGAGTATCCTGAAAAAATTTCAGTTCATAACCGAACTTTTGTGTGATTTTGCGTTCGTTAGTGGTTTAAAAACACGCATAATCTTGATTAATTAGTTTACAGAAAATAGCAAAAACTACTAAAGAAAAGTTGACTAATTTTAGATGAAGCAGATGGGCTTCCACTTCATGGACGCCGAGACGAAGATGTGCAACGCGAGCGCGGTGACGGTAAGGGACTTACGCGAAAACGGCTTTGGACTGTTAGCGGGGGTTTAGCGGGGGAAACCATATTTTTCCCTTTGATTTTCTGCGGCCCTATGAAACAACATAAAAATTTTTATACTTTTTCGAAAATTTTTTAGCATAAACAATTTCAAAAATAAAAAAATTGTCAAAAATGTATCAATTTTTGGCCAAAAATGCATGCAAAAAGACCAAAAACCAGCATTTTCGAATTTTCAAAAATTTAAAAATATTTTTGATAACTTTCAAGTTATTAAAAACTCCTAAAAACGCTATAAAATACATTATATAACATCAACTGGTATAAATACTCGCTCTGCTCACCCCCTGCAAACAGTCCAGAACCGCAAAACCTTAGTGAATTGAAGCCGCAGAAAATTAGAGATAACGTCATCAGGATCGTAACGTACTTTTCAGGCAGCTCAAACCATGGTGACGCAGGGGCTGCGCCCGAAGTTGGTGATCGAAAGCGGTCATGCTCAATTCGCCACCTACTCGCGGTTGATCGAGATTTTCCAGTCGAACTCGGCGCTCGCGTGGTTGTTGTACAATTTTTGCCTGCCCTTTGGGCATTATGTGATGTTGACAATGTAGAACAGCAACCGATTTTGAAGGCTAAAGCTCGCATTTTGATTCACTGGCTCCTCGCTAGTCAAAAACTAGCAGAAATTTCACTACCGTCCCTGTACAGACCTGCTAGGAAGGTTCGAAAACGCTAGAGTGTTGTATTTTTTGTGTTTTTATCAATTTTTATAGCAGAAAGCCCTTTCGCATTTGTCCGGGTATCATAAAAAAGCTGCCACCATCGCATTTTTGCTAATAAACGGATTACATAACTACCGCTACAAGATTATGAAACCATTCAATCCTGCCTGTAACTGTAAAAACGGGGTTTTTGGTGACCCGGGTATTTCGATACGCTCTCACGTAGGGCTTGGGGAAAGACGTTTGGGGAAAGACGTTTGGGATGAATTCACGGGAAATTTCACGTGAAATAGCGCTTTTCGCCCGCGTGAATTATATTTTGTAATGTCTTTCTTCTTTGGCGTCAATTTTGAAAATGGAAACATGATGAATATCGACTACGGTTTTCAGAAATGGCTTTAGAATTTTTTAATCAGCGCATTTTGAAGTCGAAAAAGGGACAAAAAACCGGCGGTGCGACCGCATTGCGGTTGTTTCTGCCTCTTTGCCAAAAATCAACGTAAATTACGTTCTAGGGGCAGCCGAAGGCCGAGGCCAAGAGGGAGCGTGGCAAAATGCGCAAAAAAAGCCATTTTGCGGCAACTTTTAGTTTTCTTTAGACTGCATAAACCAAAAATTGACTGAACACTCAAAAAATGTCGGCGCGGCGAAATCCTCGCCTATCCAAATTTTTGGAAAAACTACAGTACACCACACACACATCTTACACTAGCCAAATAGGGTTGTTTTTAGCCATTCTCCTCAGAAGACTTTCATAAACCTTGCCAAAAACGTATTTTCAAGCATTTGAAAGACTCTATGAATCCACGCCAATCTCTTGTTCGTGAAAACACCATATACACACGAACCGTTTATTCCAATGCTAGGCACAAAGCGAGTCACAGAGCGAGGGATAGTCACGAAAAACACATTCACACATAGGAACGAAAGAAGCCCTTGGAGGGGTAGCGAGTTCAAGTATATAGCTTTAGCGAAACGGGGTTAAAGGCAATCAAGCAGCGGACTGAGCTTATTGTTCAGCACGCCACCTTCAGGCCCTCGATGGTGAAGGAGTTGACCTCGTCGCGGAAGCTGTCCTCCAGGATCCCCGACTGAAAAGAAATTGGGAAATTTGGGATTGAAGCAGGAGCGTTCCGCGACCGTTATCCGTAAGGTTTAGCGTTGTTTACTTTTCGAAACCCTTCGAACCTTTCGATTCGGACGTTAACCTTCCTTTGAACCTTTCGACACCTTAACCTTTCGAAAATGGATATTATGGTTTATATTGTTTTATAGTTAAAGAGCTGCCGACGGCATGTGTCGATCCCCCCTCATCAACAAATTGGCAAGCAGCCAACAGTGGAGAGAGCGCGCCTAGGGGAGAGGCGCAGAGACATTTTATTTTCCGCGAGTAACCGATTGACTATGCCGTCGGCAACCCTTTAAAGACTATGTAAAATTCGGTATATGTCGGCTACGCGGGGCGGGGGGGGGGGATTTTACGCGGGGTGGGGACGGAGTTGGGGCCGAGCTAACTATTTTTTTACGTTTCTTTTTGCTACCAACAAAACTCTTGGTATATTTTTTTGATGCTCTATTGAATGACATTAAATAAATTTTGTAAAATGTCGAAAATGTCGAAACTTGCTTTCCTTCTATGTCCTCTATGAAAAAGGCTTTTAATAATTGTTTTTATCATTACTATTTTATATTACATTATTTTGAACTAAAATTAAAACTTTTAGTATATTTTTGAATGCTCTATCGAATGGCTTCTTTAAAATGCCGAAAAATAGCGCGAATCTCAAAAAAACAGTCGCTCAATCCGAATTTAAACAGGTTTTTTGTTTTTGCTATAACTTTTTTTATATTACAATAATTTGAGCTAAAACAAAAACTCTTAGTTTATTTTTTGATGCTCTATTGAATGCCGTTGCAAAAATCTCGAGAAAAAAACGAAATAATTCAGAAAAGCCTGCCTGTCCCGTCCCCCCCGCCGCATAACCGACATATACCATAAAATTCTGTAATCCGAGGAGTTTGGTCGCCATTACCTGGAGGCAATTCGTAAGGATGATCTGGATGACGTAGAGGTATTGTGCCACCGTCTGCACAGAATTGGCTCGATAACTGCGCAGTTCGCGGAGCAAGCCGATGAGGTTGAAGGCTGACTAAAACTATGGGTGAGCTAGGGCTGTGATCCCCAGAGCATCACAGTTTTACAATTTGCAATAAAATTTTTGCCAAAATCGGCCATTGTCTGTCGAAAAACCTATTTTTTATAGGGTAAGAGTGCAGTTTACCCCCCCCAGGCGGCACGCAACTTTTGTATCTCGGTTCCCTGTTCATCTACAGGTGTGTAAAGTCTACCAAAATGTTGGTCTTGCTCTGGCGAGTATTTTGGTATACTTTACACACCTGTAGATGAACAGGGAGCCGTGATACGGTAGGTGGTTGCCGGCTGGGGGGGGGGGGGGTAAACTGCACTTAAGCCTTTTATAGTTTTTAATAAAAATTTATATAGTTTTGACGTTTATGAATAGTACAAAACCATTTAAGAACACCTCCAGCAATTCCATATTTGAAAAATTTGATCCAAAGAAAAATTCTGTTTCCCCGCCCCGACGATAATCCGAAAGAACCAGTGGGATTTTCGAAAGTAAAGGCTCGTACCTCGATCGTCTCCTTGTGGCCCGACTGAAGCCTCTCAATAATCATCATCGTGAGGGCGAAAACCCCAGTGCGCCCGACACCAGCAGAGCAGTGGACAACGATGGGCTTCCTGGAATATATTGAACGCCTGCCAGCCGATACGGTTTTTTTTTTACTTGGTATCAGAGATGCGGGACAGCAGCTCGAGCAGCGCCGAATCGGGCTGCGGTGCCGAACGATCTGGCCAGTTCTGCCAGTGAGCCAGCTGGAACGAGTGCACCACGACGCAATCTACTTCGACGACGAGCTGGTACAAGGTAACGTCCGCGCTCGACGCGCGCTCCCATTGCATCTTAATGATTTGCTGACAAGCGAAGTGTTGTTATTCACTGATTTTCTACCCAGCTCGGGAATCCTACTATATATAAAAAAATAGTGTTTGTGTGTGTGTGTGTGTGTGCCACTTTGCATCCACTTCCGGATGTCTGTCCGGAGGATATCTCAAGAAGGGACGGGTATTAGGCTACGTATGATACGTCATTAGGTGCGTAATGGTTTAGGGATGACTGCACACATATCAGATTTTTAAAAATTAGCCATTTTCGCTATTAAATTTAGGTTTTTGTAAAAACCTCTTTGTTAGGAATAATTAGCATAGACCGGAAGTGGGCCGTCGCCTATATAAAGAGGCAGAAAGGGTTGTTTTTCATTTTTTTTCTGAATGGAGGACAATTATGCAAAGGGAAGAATAGTATGGGGTCCGAGACGGGGCCAGGGTTGAAAAGTCGCGAAGCGGCTTTTCAACCCTGGTCGTTATATAACATACATGAATCGATAGAGCATTCAAAACAAAGTTGAGTTTTAAATCACAGATTTTGCGGAAAGTCCCTCTTTACAAAGTTATTTGAGTTTTAAATTTTGCGTATTTTTGAAACCCAAACATTTTGGTCTATTGGCATGATTTGGCAAAACAAATCTCAAGATCGTGTTCAGAAAAATTTTCTCTATCGGAAAAATTCGGGGAAATTGAAGGTACTTGGTATTTTCTTTTCTCACCCTTTTTCTTGATGTTGTAAACTTAGTCAATTTGCGCTATTCCAGACGTTTGTGATGTTTCTAATGAGGCGGCGCAGTACTAATCAGGGTACAATTCAAATAGGCGGCCGGGGGAGGTGGGCTTATATGTGCGTGGTGCCTAGAAGGCAGGGCGGGCGCAGAGACACAGATTGCCCACCGCCTAAATCTCCCCCCGCCGCCTACTTGAATAGTATCCTAAATCAGATATACCCTTCGAAACAGAGAGAGAATAGAAACAGCAAATTCTCTACGAAATACGCCGTTCAAACCAAATTTAAAATCTCAAACAAAAAGTGCTGAGAAAATGGGTCTTCCAGAGCCTTGGAGAAAGCTACAAACTTTTCAGAGGAGAAACACAACTTTTCATACTCAACTAACTTTTCAGGACTTCCGCAAAAACTAATATCTAAATCGCAGCTCACTTTTTCGCTCTTGATCAAGCGGACGGTATAGATTCCGTGCACGAGGGTCTCGCCCACGACGCGTGGCCAGTACGGGTGACACTTGTCTTTGCCCTGTTCCTTGAAGTTGCACAGCACCACGACGTGTTGCGCCCCCTGCTCGACGAGCATCCTAAACAGTATACTTCTCCGCCCACCCTGGGTGGGCCCCCCCTAGGGGGGACAGAGGGGGGACTGAAAGGGGCCCCCCGAATTTTCACTTTAGCGAATTTTCGCTATACCGAATTTCGCTATGCCGAATTTTTGCTACTCTACTACTAATATTCTCTACTAATATTAATAACTAAGATCGGCTGGGACTTTGCGGTGCAACAGAAAATCTGCTGCGCCTACGGGACCCACGATCTGCCTGCGTTTTTGGAAACTTCTAGGCTAACTCTAACTTTCTAGGCCCATCTATTTGGAAAAAAAAACAGTAAAACAAATTGGGAACATACCGCTTATCAAAATTGGTATGGCGAAGATTCGGCATGGTGAAAATTCGGTATACCAAAAATTCGGCATAGCGAAATTCGGTATAGCGAAAATTCGGTATAGCGAATGGAACTCGTAGATGCCATACCTTCATGCCTCAGGGGGGTAGGGGGCACGGTCATGGGGGGTCCCCCGGGTCCCCGGGGGGGCCCCCCCACCATCCCCCCTTTCAGTCCCCCCTCTGTCCCCCCTACAAGGAAACCTCCCCAGCTCGAAGCTGGACTTCGATTAGCTATATAGCCTATCTGATGCAGTTTTTCACGCTGATAACGATACCGCTATTTATTTTTGCCGAGCGCCACAGGAACATAGTTAAAAATCGATTTAAAGTTTTCCCAGTTTGGCGGCCCCCACCACAAAGCCCCTCCCCAGAGGAATGGATCCATCGGTGGCGTGGTGTAGTCGGCAAGTACTTGGTCTACCAATCAAGGGGTCGCTAGTTCGAGTCTTGCCGCTGGCGACTTTTTTGCTTTTTGCTGTGAAGGTCCTACAAGTCATCAAGAAAAATATTTTTAAGTTTTTTTTGCACTTCTGTTATTCAAGTTGAGTGGCTCGATTTTGAAGGACCGTTTTTTAGTCGAAGACACGTGGACAAACGGTCCGGTGAATCACCAACTCTGTAGTTCACCAGCAAAGCTTTTGAAATTTTTGAAAAAACGGGAAAGAAAGACTAGGTTTTGGCTTTACCTTTTTACATTTGTTATTTAGAGGTTTATTTTTGCACCAAGATAAGGAGATTTAAAGTTATGAATCCATGATAAACGTAGCGAAACCTGTCTTGGTTGTAGCCATGAATACCAGAATTTGTGACCAGAAGTGCAAAAAAACTTAAAAATATTTTTCTTGATGACTTGTAGGACCTTCACAGCGCTTCTGAAGCAAAAAGTAAAAAAGTCGCCAGCGGCAAGACTCGAACTAGCGACCCCTTGATTGGTAGACCAAGTACTTGCCGACTACACCACGCCACCGATGGATCCATTCCTCTGGGGAGGGGCTTTGTGGTGGGGGCCGCCAAACTGGGAAAACTTTAAATCGATTTTTAACTATGTTCCTGTGGCGCTCGGCAAAAATAAATAGCGGTATCGTTATCAGCGTGAAAAACTGCATCAGATAGGCTATATAGCTAATCGAGGTCCAGCTTCGAGCTGGGGAGGTTTCCTTGTTAGGGGGGGCCCACCCAGGGTGGGCGGAGAAGTATACTAAACAGGGGTTTTAACGATGGCGTTCTTTAGCATTCACGGTGCGGGGCACCAATTTTTTCGGGGGCAGGGAACGGGAATGCAGGGAACACGGGCACTGTTAGCGGGGAGGAGGAACCAAATTTTTCCTTGTGGTTCTCGACGGCCTTATCACAAATTATAGATATTTTTTTACAGCGTTCTACATGATTTTTAGCAATGAAAACAAGGTCAAACCATAACAAAAATTTTCAGAAAGTTTTGACTTTTTGGTCAAAAATGTATGCAAAATGACCGGAAAAAGTCAGATTTTAAAAATTAAAAATTACTAGCTAATAAAAATTATGTGCACGATAAAATACAAAATCTATCGTCAACGAGGGAAGTATATGTGGCAAAACAGAAATTGGGGTGGGATTTTTTAAATGGAGAGGGTAGTGGGGCGTGCCTTCGCCTCCCCCGCTAACGTACCAGAACCAAAAAAAACACACTTAAACACTTAAATACAGGTGCTGACTTAAATATGGGTACCTCACGTGATCGATGCATGTCGTAGGAAGGGGAGCCTGGCAGCAAATGAGACGCTTCTTAGCATTAGGCCCCGTCGCGACAAAGTTTGCATGGATGTAGCCATCGTTACCGAGGAGCACCGCGTGTGCATCCAGGCAGAAGACGTCTTTGTACCGGTTCCTGCCCATATTGTTCCAGAACCTCGTGCATCTCGAGCGGTCCATCGGCCCCCTGCGATTGCTCTTAAAAAAGTCACGCGTATTACCGTTACCGTTTGTTCTTGCAGAACTGCTTTACAGCATAGGCAGGCCCCGACTGCAACATGGCTATGCCCCATTTCCTGACCACGTCACGGTGATCATAGTCGATTAATGGATGCACGCGGCACTGCGGTGCTGAATTCGACGTGAATGAATATGCTGAGATAGTATACCGGAAAAAGCCCTCGCTGCCTTGCGCCGGATTATGTCCCGGCGGCTAACCCTCTCCTCCGGTTCTCTAAATCTCGGGTGTTAGACGCACAAAAGCTGCCGTCAGCGGCTTTAATCCTACTATATATAAAAAATAGTGTCTGTGTGTGGGTCACTTTGCATCCACTATCCATTTATAAAAATCGCTTTTATAAAAATCAGCCATTTTCGATATCAAATTTAAGGTTTTGTAAAACCCTCTTCGCTAGGAAAAATTAGCATTGACCGGAAGTGGGTAGTCGCCTATATAAAGGGTCAGAAGCGAATCATTTTCATTTTTTTGTCATCTGAATTCAGCGCAGAACAGCATGCGGCCCAAGACGGGGCCAGGGTTGAGGTGAAAAGTAGAGCTTCAGTTGTTTGGGAATTTCGGGAGGGAGGGGGGCAACTTTTAGAATAGCGGCGCCGGTTGGCTTGGTAATCAAATATAAAGCGTTTTTACATTGCCTTCAGCATGTTTTTACGATACTTAAAGTAAAAAATCTGTCAAAAGGGTTAAAAAAAGTGTTCGGTATAGCGAAAATTTGCTCATTTTGAATCGAGAAAAATCAATTTTGCCACCTAAAATTAAATGTTTAAATAACTTTCTGAAGTTATCAGGCTTAGAAATAGTTCTTAGGCAAAAACGCATTCGCAATTTATTAAAAAACCAGGGTTGAAAAGCCGCTTCGCGACTTTTCAACCCTGGCCCCGTCTTCTCCAATGATATTCTTGGCTTTGCATAGTTTTCGCGGGCGGGTTCGGATGACGATAAATGAAAAATGCTCTCGCCGTCCCTTTATATAGGCCACCGCGACTTCCGGCGCATGCTAATTTGATCCTAACAAATTGGGGTGTCCGATTTTTCGTGAAAAACTTAATTTTAATGTCGAAAACAGTATATTTTGTAAAATCTAATATGTGTGCAGTCATCTCCCGCTCATTACGCTCCTAATGACGTATCGAACATACCCCTAAGTACTTCCCTTCTTGAGATACTACTGGAATACGGTGACGGAAGTTGCATGCAAAGTGGCACACATACACACACAGACACTATTTTTTTATATATAGTAGGATTTAGGCTTGCGCCGAACAACGTTGGGCCAAGACAATTAGCATTGTCCTTGGCCTTTGGTTACAAGGCCGTGAAGTGGCTTTTCGAACCTCGTCTGGCTTAAAAAATACCGGGGCAACGGCCGCGCTCCTCGGACGAGATTCGGGGCTGAAGCACTGGCAGGTTTCGGATCGACGACCTCGGCGCCGGGGGCTTCTTCCTGGTTCTCGCCGCTGGCGTTGCTGAACGTCAAATATTGATCATGTAATACTAGAATTGCGGTTTGCTTTTTGGTTTGCTCAAAAAACCTCTGTCAAAAGCTTTCTTCTCCTCTCGCGTAGATGCTCCCTTAAATTCTTGTCCCCAAACTGCCATTATATTCCGTCTAAAGTCTTTAAAAATCATCTTTCCCAACTTATCCACATCTCCTATCTACTGTAATGGTGTTCTCGTCATTCTACTCTTCTATTCCATTCCCCCTCTTTCACATCTTCATAATATTTACAATTAATCATAATTTTCCTCTTATTTATCTATCCTCTCCACCACTCTATTTACACCTGATTCCTCACACTGTAAGAGTTGACTTTGTGAACCTTGTGTTGAGAATAAAATATTATTATATTATTATAATATTATTATTATCGAGTGGAGTATAAATAGTTTCGATTATACTCCTTGGCCAAATGTTAAAAATACCTGGGCACGTTTTGGCCCTCGGCTGGCTGCCCGGCCCCAGGAGCTAAATAAGGATGGGGATAATTGTGACCGGAGCTACCCGAAGCACCCGTATCGGCTTTGGGCGCATCCGTGACTCCAGCGCCAACGCCCTCCTTCGCCTTCTCGACGCCTGTTCCTCTGAAGCAAGGGTTCTAGACTGTTAGCGGGGGGGTACCACATTCTTTTTTTCTACCTGTGATGATAAATCCTACCTTATATAATTTGGTCGCGTATCTTTGTCTGTGTGTGTGTGCGGAGGTCAGTTTCGAGGCCCGATTTGAGGGCCTTCCCGTGTCCAAAATGCCCTAATTCTTCGTCACTTCGGGGAATCGACCCTCCTCTTTTCGATGGCGTTCTCAGAATTTCGATAAAATACAAGTTTACAAAGTTAAAGCCGGTTTTATTCATTTTTGGGTCCCTGAGGGCTAATTTGCATAATGCGAGAAAATACAAATTTCCTCATTCTTGCCAGTTGCACTCGCGCGTGTGGTCGGCCGGGGGGAGGGGGTCCGAAGGACCCGAGCTATCGGAAAGTCAAATTTCTTATGCAAAGGCCGAATTCCAGCGCCCAAGGCCCGCGAAGCGGGTTTTGGACGCTGGTTATGTAATGAAAGTGTTTTTAGTAGTTTTTGATTGCTAGAAAGTTATAAAGAATATTTTTTGGCACTAACCATTTTGTTCATTTTCATACATTTTTGACCAGAAAGTCACAGATTTTCGACAATTGTTATGTTTTTGTTTCTAAAAACTATGGCAAGTGTTATCAAAAATTTTTTAATATTTTGTTATGGGGCCGTAGGGATCCACTATGCAAAAAAAATTTGATTCCCCGCTAAAAGTCCCCCCCCCCGCTATCACTCGAGAACCGAATCAAGATCGACAAACGTTTACTGCCCGCATCGATTACGCGCTGCCTTGCTAGCAGATACGCTGACTGGAGGTTCTGTTCTCTATCTGCCTTTGATGGCATATTCCAATCAGAATTAAGCACCATCAAAGAAGACCTAAAAATGGTATTTCGCTATTGCTAGGTTAACTGTTAATACGTCCGAAATATCTTTTATTTTATTCCGAACCAGGGTTGAAAAGCCGCTTCGCGACTTTTCAACCCTGGCTCCGTTTATATAGTCGTATCCCCACTTCCGGTCGATGCTAACTTTTCCTAACAAAGAAGTTTTCACAAAAACTTAAATTTAATGTCGAAAATAGATGATTTTGTAAAATTTGATATGTGTGTAGTCATCTCAAGACCATTGCGCACCTAATGACGTATCATACGTACCTGAAAATCCATCCCCTATCGAGATATCCTCCGGACAGCCACACGGAAGTGGATGCAAAGTGGCACACACACACACAAACACTATTTTTTTATATATAGTAGGATCATTCACAGTGAGAGAAATGAAACTCCGTCTTCCGCCAGCACAACTATTGATAAGCCTTTTTGCATGAGAACCGGATTTAGAGATGCGAAAAAGACAAATACCCGGTGGAAGCTGGTGAAGCGGCCTCGACGTCGGCGCTGCTATCCTTCTCGGAGCCTCCATCCGGTGAAGGCGTCACGGGAGGGTCCTCTGCGTCTGTTATCTTCGCGCGACCACGTTTCCGCTTGCAGAAGAAGCCCACGGTGAAGCCACCACCGACGATGACAACCATCAACACCGCTCCGCCTGGCAATGAAAATTGGGTTCTTTCGCATTATCGAGGCGATGGGGTGCTGGCGATTACTGTAGAGAAGGTTCGTGTTTTTCTAATATGAACCAGGGTTTAAAAGCCGCTTCGGAAACCTACAACTCCGGCACGGTACAGTAAATCGTAGCTAGGGCAAATATTAATTTTCAACCAAGTTTTCGAATCTAAGGTTTTTCTAAGACCGTTATTTTTCCATTTAAAACTCAATCACTCAAAGCCCTACTCACTATAACCACTCGAAAATATAACTCTTGTCCACCTCAGTACTCAAAACAACGGCCCCTGGTGCATAATACCGACCAGCAATCAGATACATCTTCCAATATTTCGTGTTATTCGCCACTTCCGGGGTTGCTGGCACCAGCGTGGTGGGAGGGACGATGCAGAGCTCCTAAATTCAGGACTTTTCATGGGTTTTCACGTCCGTTTAGCGCTGAACGTCAATAGTCCGTACCGTTTCCGAGTCGACGTCGGTGCACGGGCGTGGAATCGCGCGAAGGCTTGCGTCGTCGGGGTAGCGGGCGACCAACGGATTCGTAGCACAGTCCAAGAAGTAGTCGTTCTTCACGAGCGCCGCCTGCTCATCCTAGAACAACGTTCCTTGATTTTATTCGAGATTTTCAATACCTTCAGATCCTTCCATTCGATGCATCTCGGGTATTTGTAGTCGATGTTGGCGGGGTCGACGTCACGTCGTAGGCGGAACAATGGCTGTAAGGTACTGTTCGGTTTCGCCGAGGGGAGGTCTGGCTTAGGCTTGATTAATTCAGCTTTAAGTGGAAAACCATGTAGAAAACGTCACAAAATATTTCCAATTTTAAATCTTTGGTTAAAAACTTTTGTTTTATTTTACATGGATTTTGTCAAAGGGCTAGCTTTAGAAATAGCAAAAAAACGCCTCGAAACCTCGGTGGTGTTTGTGTCGCCCGCAGCAGCCGCGGCAGTCGTCGGCCCTTTCCGAGCATATTTCAGCGTTTCCTCGATCGACATCATCACGGCATAGGGGCCCGACTACAAAATTCGTATAAATTGGCTCGAGTAAGATAAAAAATAACGCCGGCTGGGGGGAACACTCTAAAGGAATAAAAACCTCACCATCTGCCGTCCCAGCACGTAAACCTTGATGTCCTCCACATCTTGGCGGTCGACGACGTCGAGCAGCTGGCAATTAGCGTAGTCGGCCCGCGAACCCTTTTCCTTGTAGACGCATGCTTCGACGCATTCCACCGGAACAGCATCACTCATCGCCTTGAGATCGGCTGAAACGCTGCCCTCGCTGAAAATCAAGACAAATTGTGGGCAGCGTCGGCCCGAACTCACCCGCAAATTGGCCGCGGCACGCAATCGGCCTCGACATCGGTGGAACCGGCCGGACAATACTAGAAAATACTTCGAAAATTGAATTTTAATTTATTACCGTTGTCATAATCTAGGTGATTTCTCTATGAGGGATCACTGCTAGATTACGATATTCCCATTTGGGTGACTACGATTTACCTTCTAAGTCGGCATACTAACTATACTGAACTTATCTGAACTCCGTGCTAAGGTTGCATCTCTGTAGTTAACTACGTCTATTAATAACTTTACCCATTTAATGGTAAATTGGCACCCTAGACTAGTTTCGGGAAGCTGAAAGAGAAGACAGATATTAATGTGTGGATAAGTGGCCTGATGGCGCTTTCGGTGTAATTGACTATAAAAGATAAGCTTACGGTATGGGGTTATTCTTAGTTTATTTAGCATTTCGTAAGAGCATCGTTTGCAAAGGGTTTCAAGGGAAGAGATAATTAAGCCCGGGAAAGGATGCCAGGCAACACGGAGATACAGGTCCAATAATTTAAAATAAGAGGTCATAAAGATCTAAAAATCAATCCAAAATATTCAGGACCATCGGCCTTTCGGCCTCCGGTCCCTCCTCTGGGTTTTCTAGGTAAAAGGCTTAGAGCTGGCGTACGGTTCCTAGACTAGCAAGAACCCGGCAAGAAGTGGGAAGGCCCCCACAGGGGTCCTCCCGGGGCCTGTTCCTCCGCGTGGGCGTGTCTCTCCCCTATCATATAGGACACCGTGATCTTGGCAGGATCGGGGATATCGTGCCACTCCTTTGGAAACGGGGAAGCATCGGTGGGCATCAGGCCGGCAGGTACTTGAAGGCTTGGCACGCAGGTCAACGCTGGCTTCGGATCGGCGGAAGTCTCGTGCGCCCGGCGTACGGCCCTATTATGCGATGGATTGTCTTTGGGAAGCAAAAACCTTGGCACCAGAAATCCGGCGTCGCATTGGACGTAAAACGCTGGGCTGATATCGACGGACTTTGGGTTATAGGGTACGCGACTCCTGTAAGACCAAACTAGAAGTAAAACAGCAATGCATACAGTAGATCAAGGGGACAAGTTTCCTTGGCTAGCATCTCCCTTGTGCAGATGTTGAACGCCAGCAGCACGTGCTTCTTCTCCACTAAATCAAATCGATTCTGGATCATAAAAACTATATCAACCTCCACCGGCCACTTGAACTGCAAAGGCGACAGGCTTGATGCAGGTTGGCTGTACGGCGACACCCTCGGTGGGAAAATCCGTCTAAAGAAGATTTCTGCCCGTTTTAAAAACACTTACGCAAAAGTAATTTGTAGGATCGCAGAAGATGGTGGACCAGAAAACGGTGGTTGGAGTGAAGGAAGGAGGCGTGGCACAGACCGCGGGTACGCATGGTTTGCACTGAAATTACGGTAACCGCTTCTTTTCCAGGTACGGTTTGTAATATAAAAATTGGAGCCCTCGACTTCTAGAGCAACCTTTTTCTCCAGAGCCGTTGGCGGGTCGTGCGGCAATCCCTTGGCGGTCATCCAGGCGTACGTGTAGCAGACGAGAGCCCGCATTTCACAGGCTTCGTCCTCCGCGAACCGACGAGCCCGACTGCTTGCCACCAAAGCCCTAAGAGTGAGGTCTTTTTGGTCAGGACAAAAATTCGGTTTGGGGCTAAGCCGAACTTGTACAGATTTCGATTATTTTTCTCAGTCGAATGAGTTCTTTAACTCAAAATTGTCAGAAAAAAAAGCGAAAAAATTTGACGATGGTTGATTGGACTTTGATTTTCTATGAGACATGCTACAGAATTGCCCACTTCACACACCCATAAAGTGCCTAGAAGTACTCAGGTTTTAAGGCCTTTTGCATTTAGGTGGCCGGGGGAATCAACCTTTTTTTTCCAAGGATCGTATTTTTGAAATATTGTTCTTAAATGGTTCCTGAGCGTGACAACTCTACAGATTTTCATTGCAAATACAACAAAAATATGAATTTTTCGGCCAAAATTTTTTTACAAAATCTCATTATTTTTTAAGCTTTTCGATAGTTCTTCAAGTCTAAATAAAATTATATTACTGAAAACACTATTAAAACACTGTTTATTACCTTAATAGGCATTTCTAGACTTATACAAAGAGGCTCTAGACATACAACTCACCAGACATTAGGCGGGTAGGCGCTGATGAGCAACAAGAAGATGAAGCCGAACTTCAACATCACGAAGTAGAGAAATACGATTCGAAGGAGGCTTATTGGCTTTTATATGAGCTGCGAAACATATGATAATTGATTGATTTAGCATATGCTAATTGCTATATGATAATTGCAATTCAAGCGAAATATGCACTTGTCGAATGAGAATGAACGGCAGTATGGTAATGTTGATAGGCTAATTGAATTATGAAGATTCCAACATTCCATTTATCAGACAGACAACAAACAAGGTATAAAAACTAAGATATTTTTTCTTATGTTAATTCCTATTTACTAGAAGAGCACGGATACCCCGGGCCGAGGATTGGCTGAACGTTTGTACACAGAAAGAATCACACACGCTGATCATCACCTCGTTTTCCGAAATTGCTACTGATTTTTAAAGCATAAGATATGCCCCTTTTAAAATTATCCTTTAGTTAAAAACGTAAACTTTTGATATTGTAGAAAATGCAAGATCGAATATTTTGCAAAAATAAATATCGCCAACCTATTTAGAAAAATTTTCTCTTTCGAATGAGCGCTCTAACCCAACATTTTCGAAGATTTTTTAAGATTTTTCCTGGGAAGTGGTCAAAACCGCCTACATACTTCAAGCAGCTGTAAGACCTGAATGAAATATACCATTCGAATCGGAAAAGATTCTCTATCAGATGGCTACTTCAAATAAATGAGAATCTCAAAATTAGAAAGAACGGTATCATGGTAAACACTTCTCGGGGGCGAAATTGACACTAAAACATAAATAACTCGCGCGTTAAAGATCAGCAGCAAATTCGGAGAATGAGGTGGTAGCCGATTGTAAGTTTTCAGCCAATTCCGAGTCCGGGTTTATGCGGGCCCCCTCGATAGTCATAATCGGGATAACGTTATAGATTAAAGGAGCAGCGAAACCGCCGCTCGGTGTTGGCAAACCGCCAGATACCGCTGCAACGAGACCGCGTCGCATGCTCTTTTGTCACAGTTTCGAAGTGTAACGTTCGAATTTGAAAATTCTGCTGCTATTTCTCGCGTCATCAAGCGATTCCGATCGTCTGTCTCAACTTACAAAATTGATCCGGAAAGATCCCACAACCGCCCATGGGTTCGGCCCAGATGGTCATCGGGAAAAGTCGTACTGTACGCGTTTTTGGCGTGGGGCGCGCAATAGCAGCCGGTTTTTAGCTGCGCAGGCCGGCTTTCGCTGTTGCGCGACGCGTCTAACGCACGTGTTGCGGTCTTTCCTCGTTAGAAAAGCTACCGGACGGTTTATCATGAGCCGGGCCGCTGATTTGGGTGGTTTACAGGGCATTACGACATGTAAAGCCCGCGCGGCCAAAAACTACAGGGTGTCCCAATAAAAAAGGTCACGCTGGCATTTTGCTATTTCAAATCCCATCGACTTGAAATTTTGCACAGTGGTGCTGAAGGGAATTCAAAATGTTCACAGAAACTTTCAGCCAGAACGGTACAGTAGTTTTCGAGTTATAGCAAAAATAAACTTTATTTTACGTTTTTAACCTGGATTTCGCCGGAATTGAGCCCTGGAATGTATCGAGAAAATGAAGCGCCGACCCTTTTTTATCCTAGGAATTTTTTAATTCGCAAAATTCGGGCCGAAAATAGGTTATTTAAGTATTTTTTAACAAGGGCTAACGACGCCGATGTTAAGAGAATAAGGGATTTAGAGCCGGAAATTTATGTTAATTGATGCAAAGTCCAAAAAGATAGCCGAAAAAATGCAGCTAAAGTGTGGGAAAAACAGTATTTTTGCAATAACTCGAAAACTACTGTACCGATCGGGCTGAAAGTTTCTGTGAACATTTTAAATTACCTTCCGCACCTCTGGGCAAAATTTCAAGTCGGTCAGAATTGAAATAGCAAAATGCCAGCGTGACCTTTTTTATTGGGACACCCTGTATATTCTCTTTTTTCTCAAATATTGCGTGAAACGAAATAAATTTGCTGCTACTCGTAGGGAGTACCCCTTCGATTTTTTGACTCGCAGACGAATTTCGACTTCCTGGCTCCTTTGAGCGTAAACCCCAAGGGTACTCAGCTACTTGTTTAAAGATGCACCAAAACTGAACTGAACAGGGCTGAAGTACATAACGCTGAGGTGTCTGTCAAATAAGCCAGTCGAGTCCGAAATCGCAAGGTGAACACAAGAAGGGTACGGTAAGAGCTCGTGTGTTCATGCATTCTTGGAAAGCACTCCCAGCCACTTGATCCCAAATACTCTTTATTACTCGCCAAATGCACATGGAATAGATAGAGATAACAGGCAGATTGGGGCAGAGGAAATACACATTGTTCCTCCGTTGTCTGTTGCGGTTTTTGGTAATCGCCTTGGGGACGGCGATGAGGGAGAGTAGGCCATATAGGGTGGATGTAGTCGGGGGTGAATTGCGCCATGTACGGGGGTGCTGATCTGAAAACTATTCTCGTCGTGTTCATCTCCGATATGCACGAATAGGTACGCGAGTCACCCACCATATAATTGTGCTGTAGTTGGGTTGTCGGACGGGCTATTTGGCATCATTTCACTTCTTGGATTCGCTGGAATAAGGGGGAGTTGCTCACCGACCTTTCTTGTAGAAGTTTGGAAATACCTAGTAGCTTAATGGAGGCTGTTTTAATAGTGCTTTCATTGATATAAATTTAAACTACGAGAATCTACGAAAATTTGGTCAAACTCGGCTATTTTCGTTCGAAAAATCTAGATTTTTATGTTTTTTAATACAGATTTGTAAAGTTTTTACGTTTTTTGAATTTATATGAAGAATATTAAAAACTGTCCAGTATTTTTGACTTTTTGGGCAAACTGTAAGAAAAATGACCAAAAGCGTCAAAATTTTCGAATTTTCAAAAATTCTAAAAATATTTTTGATAACCGTCCAGCAGTCAAACACTACTAAAAACACTACAAATTGCATCATATATGATAGAAAGGTTCTGTTCTATTTCGCGGGGGGGAACTGTGCGGGGGGGAAATATGCTTCGCGGAATCTTCCATTTTTCGCTATTTTCTCGGGATTTTTGAAACGCCATTCGATAGAGCATCAAAAAATATACTACGAGTTTTAATTTCATCTAAAAATATTGTTTTATCAAATAGTTATAGCAAAAACAAGGTTTATACGGTGTTTCCACATGGGATCGTAGAGTCGAAAGCTAGTTTTCGACATTTTCGATAACTTTCAAAAATTTCTTTAATGCCATTCGATAGGGCGTCAAAAAATATACTAAGAGTTTTCATTACAACTCGAAATAGCATCATGTAAAAGAGTTATAACAAAACGAAGAAAATTTTCCCCCCCGCACAGTTTTTTCCCCCCCGCACAGTTTTTCCCCCCCGCGAAATAGAACAGAACCGATAGAAACATTTTCTTATCGCTAAAGCTTTATGGAAAATGACGGATACCCGGTGGAAGTTGTTGAGGCGGCCTCGGCGTCGGCGCTGCTATCCTTCCCGTAGATCCTCTGCGGGTAGCGAGGGTCCTTTGCGAATGTTACTATTTCGATGGGAGGGGGCCGCATGCGCTGGTACACGCAGAAGCCAACGACGACGAGAACAAAGAACCCCACTCCGCCTGAAAATACAAATTCAGGGGGGGGGGTTTCATTTACAAATACAGAAAAAATATTTTTCTTCGGAGACTCGATAGGATTCGATAGAAAGAACATATTTTCTTAGTTTTTCCTGCTTCTCGCCTTAAAACATAGCTAAATTTCACGAAAACGCTATTAAAACACTTACTATTACGTTACTAGGCATTTTTGTAACTCGCTCCAGCGTTCCGAGGCGCTTAATACCGACCACCAATCAGATACCACTTCAAGTCTTTCGAGCCATCCTCCCCATCCTGGGCAGTTGGCGGGAGCGTGACGGCCGGGACCGTGCATAACTCCTAAATCAGAATTCCTTTTTCACTTATTTTTACGTGCGTATCACTCAACGGCATAGCCCGTACCATTTCCGAGTCGACGTCGGCGCACGGGCGTGGAATCGCGCGAAGGCTGATGTCCTTCGGGTAGTGGGCGACCAACGGATTCGTAGTACAGTCCAAGAAGTAGTCGTTCTTCACGAGCGCCGCTTGATCCTCCTTCAGATCCTTTGATTCGACGCATCTCGGGAATTTGTAGTCGACGTTGGCAGGGTCGACTTCACGGTGGAGGCGGAACAGTGGCTATAACCGGAATACCGCCAGTTCTTTAGTCTTTCGCAAACGCATTGCTATCGAACAGATATTTTTCAGGGTTCCAGCCTTAGTTCTTCTTCTCGAAACACTTGCTTGCTAAATGCTACGAAGCGGAAAAGAGCTTAAAAAGTCATGACTGAAATTTTAAATTTTGTTGAAAAACTATTTGTGTTATTTTGAACATATTTTTGGGATTTTTTCACATTTTAAGGGGGGAGAGAAATTTTTTTCTCTAGAAATTTTTACTATCCCAAAACGTAAACACTTTATACAAACTTATTAGAAAATCCAAAAATATCGGTTTTTCGAGCAAGGTGGACATTTTTTGAATTTGAAACATTTTTTTGAGCAAAAGTAACATTTTTTTATGTTTCAAGATTTAAGATAGTTTTCTAGTTCAAATATAGGTTGATTTTATTAATTCATTATGAAAATACTTCCTATTAAGTTATCGTGTTTTTCTAAATTAATACAAAAATTTGCGGTACCCCCCGCCGATAAGGAGAATGAGCGAGTTTTTGTAATGGCAATGGCTTCAGGAATAAAAACACTTTCTCTCTCTTTCTCTCTCTCTCTCTCTCTCTCTCTCTATCTATCTCGATGGTAGCGCAAGGTGCTCTCTCAATATCTACCTTGGTGGTGTCGGTTTCACCTGAATCAGTCGCGGCGCTCGGCCCTTTCCGACCATATTTCAGGGTTTCCTCAGGCGACATCAGCATGGCGTAGGGGCCCGACTGCAAACTTCGTATAAACTGGCTCAAGTATTATGCAAAGCATAAAGCCTACGACTAAATACAATAGACGAACGATCTGACCATCTGCCGGTAGAGCACGTAAACCTTGATGTCCTTCTCATCCTGGCGGTCGACGAAGTCGAGCAGTTGGCAATTAGCGTAGTCGTCCCGCGACCCCTGGGATTTGTAGGCACAAGCCTCGACGCATTCGACCGGAACAGCATCACTGATCTGTTTGAGCTCGGCTGGAACGCTGTCCTCGCTGAAAATAAAGAAAAATGGTGGGCAGCGTCGATTCCAACTTGCCCGCAAATCGGCCGCGGCACGCAATCGGCCTCGACATCAGTGGAGTCGACCGGACAGTACTAGAAATTTCAAAGCGTATATTCTTATTCTATTACCGTGATTTTTGTCACGTCGCGGATGTCGTGCCACTCCTTTGGGAACCGGGAAGCATCGGTGGGTGATAGGCCGGTGGCTACTTGAAGGCTTGGCACGCAGGTCAACGCTGGCTTCGGATCGGCGGAAGTCTCGTACGCCCGGCGAACGGCCCTATAATGCGGTGGATTGCGATTTCTCTGCGAAATCAAAAACCTTGGCACCAGAAATCCGGCGTCGCATTGAACGTAGAACGCTGGGTTGATTTCGACAGACTTTGGGTTATAGGGTGCGCGACTCCTGTAAGGCCAAAATAGCATTAAAAGCGCAATGTTTACAGCAGGTCAACGGGACACGTTTCCTTGGCCAACATCTCCCTTGTGCAGACGTTGAACGCCAGCAGCACGTGTTTCTTCTCCACTAAATCAAATCAATTCTGGATCAAAAATTTTATTAACCTCCGCCGGTCATTTCAACTGCAAAGGCGAGAGGCTTGATGCAGGTTGGCTGTGCGGCGACACCCACGGTGGCAAAATTCTCCTAAACAAAATGACTGCTCGTTTCAAAAACACTTACACAAAAGTAATTTGCGGGATCACATGCGATCAGGGCCCGGAATTCGCTTGGAGTGAAGGAAGGGGTGGTGGTGCAGAGCTTAGCTGTGCATGGTGTACACTGAAATTACGGTAAACTCTTTTCATTCCAAGTAAAGTAGAAATTAAAAATCGGGGCGCTACTCCTCTACAACGAATGCAACCGGCACCTTTGTCTCAAGAGTCGTTGGTGGATCAAAAGGCAATCCCTTAGCGGCCATCCAGGTGTACGTGTAGCAGAAGAAAGCCCGGAATCCACAGGCTTCGTCCTGGGCGAACCGACGAGCCCGACTGTTAGCCACCAGTGCCCTAATGCGTCATCAAATTTTTTGGTTGGTCAAAATGTCTTCAAGAATCTGGGCAACGACTTTTTGTGTGAATCATGAAAAGATTTGGTAAGAGTTTACTTTACCCCCCCCCCCACAGCCAAAGGGTCCCACAGGTGTCGGTGATTTCGCTTATTTTTTCGGGATTTTCGCAACGCCATTCGATAGAGCGTCGAAAAATATACTAAGAGTTTTAATTTGAGCCTACAATAATGTAAAATAAAAAAGTTATAGCCAAAAACTTCCGGCTGGGGGGGGTAAAGTAAACCGTAGCCAAAGATTTGCAAGTAGATGCGCCGATTTGCAAGTAAAAAAGGCGCCGCTGAAAGATCCCTTTAAAATACCAAAGCTCGCACCGGCACAAAAAACTCACGAGACATCAGGTGGATAGGCGCTGATGAGCAGCAAGAGGCTGAAGCCGACCTTCAACATCTCGAAATAGAGAAATACGATCGAAAAAAGGCTTATCGGCTTGTATATGAGCAACAAAACATCTGATAACTAATTGGTTTGACTTATGCTAATTAATATGATAATTGAAATCCAAGGAAATATGCAAATGTAGTATGCAAATTAGCCGCTAACTACTGATCGCAATTTGAAGCTGGAACCTTTTCACTTATCATGCTGACAAAGCAAATCCCTGAAATAACAACTAAAAAATTTTTATTAACACCGAATTGGCTGATGATGATTCTTGGACAGCTCTGAGGCCCTAAAAATTGTCTGTATCTGCCGATTCTCTCTGCTGTTATTTGTTTCAGACGTGTCTTCTTCTTCCTTGTTTTGAAAGATTTATTTGAAACAACAGGACACAATATATCGGGCCTAATACACATTAAAAAAGGTATATACATGCAATGAAGGGGAAAATCACCCGAAAAAGCTACATAATTTCAGGCTGAATTGACGGTCGGTTGTCGGCGGAGGTAAGTGAAAAAGTGCAGGCATTTTTAGGAGGCACTCTTGATTAATGCTTGAGTAATACTAGTGATACAAACGATAAACAAGCTAAAAACACTTTCACAAGTCAATAAATCCATACACGCTTAGAAAATTGGGCTTGATTTTTAATTCTACTTGTTTAATTAAAATGACCATCGACTGGCGACCAGAATTATTGGCGTCGGCCCGGAAATCAAAGGACTACCAGTACGCAACGAAACTTATGACTTTTAGGGAATCACAGTTGGGAGGGGAGGAATCGTGAGGGTTCCGGCGCAGCCGAACTGCCCGCGGAAATGCTAGGCGATCGACTAAGACAAAATTCTGTTTCGACAATTACAAGGGTTCTGGTGTTTAGGGTTTTAGCGGTTTCCATTTTTTCAAATTCACCGATTCCCCAGCTGCGGCTTCAGAATCAGAATCGTGGTCACGCCAAGCAGATAGGCCGCTACGAGCTTTTGCTGGAGCGTCAGGTGAAAATAATGGGGCAGGAAGGAGACGCCCGCATTTGCATCGCCGATGGTCGGCAAAAACAAGGCGACGGCGCAGAGGAAGGCGATCACGACGCAGTGCCGCTGGTACTTCTCCAGCTCGGCGCCCGGCTCTTGAACCTGCAAAAGGGTTTGGTTGGACTTAGTTGCTCTATTTAGTTATGTTTACTGCGTTTTTGGCGCGGGGCCGGGCTTTAGCTGCGCAGCCTGCTTTCGCTGTTGCGCGACGCCTCTAACGCACGCGTTGCGGTCTTTCCTCGTTAGAAAAGCTACCGGACGGTTTATCAGGAGCCGGGCCGCTGATTTGGGTGGTTTACAGGGCATTACGACATGTAAAGCCCGCGCGGCCAAAAACGATATTCTCTTTTTTTCTCAAATATTGCGTGAAACGAAATAAATTTGCTGCTACTCGTAGGGAGTAGCCCTTCGATTTTTTGACTCGCTGACGAATTTCGACTTCCTGGCTCCTTTGGGCGTAAACCGCAAAGATACTCAGCTACTTGTTTAAAGATGCACCGAAATTGAACTGAACAGGGCTGAAGTACAGGGTGCGGCAAAAGTATTGTCGCGACTTTCCGCCGACTGTATCTGCGAGGAAATTTGACAGATATTCTAGCCAAAAATCTGTTATATGCAGTTTTTAATGCTTTCTCCGATAATAAGATTTACTTCCAGAGTTTTTGCCTTTTTTGGTCGCTAGGAAAACTTTTTCCATAAACCCGGCAAATTCAAGCCTAAAAACTGATTTTTAGACGCTCTCTAGGTGGCCAAAAAACGGTATCTACGCCAAGCTTCTTATTTAATTTGAAAAACCTGAGAACCTGAGAAACCATCAACCAAAGAATGTTGCGGCTCCTTTTTTGAGGGAGCCCTAGTCAAAGACGAGGCAAATCCAGTGCGCCGCACATGGCCGCCCCGTATGCAAAAAGCGAAATTGTGTCGTCCGCAAAGCAATGATAGCCTTGCTAATTTTTCTCTGCTTGATTCAGGCTACTTTTTATCTATTCCCGAAGTTTGAGTCTAGTAATCCTGACTTGGTTCGAAAACATCAGCTTCCATGACTGCTTGCAAATGCAAAATAAATTTTTTCAAACCAGAGGTGGATAGCGTGCAGGATTTAGCGCATCATGCACATCAAAATAAGCAAACAGGAAGCATACTAATATACCGTTACGTCATCCCCTGAGAGCCCCTTCAGAAACCAAAAACCCAAAAACCCAAGCTTCTCGCGAAACCGACCAGATTAGCCCATTTTCGACAAACATGGCTGAGGCCATAACTCCTTCAAATCACAAAATTAGAAGATTTCCATTTTGGACGACGGAGAACAAAGCAAATGCTACCAGAAACACATATGAAAAGTCATGGTCCCACGTAGTCTCCGAACTTAGAACCCTATTTCGACGAACTGAGGACGCGGCGCACCGTGATTTTGGGTGGTGTACATCATGTAATGAAAATCGCTCAAAAATGATGATTCCAAGAAACTTTGAAAAGCAGATTGCTGCCTTGGACCTGTCTGAAGCTAATTCTGTTGGCAAAACTTCCCGATTTTTTTGTCGCGAATTAGATATGAGGCAAAAGCTCGCGACAATACTTTTGCTGCACCCTGTACATAACGCTGAGGTGTGTGTCAAATAAGCCAGTCGAGTCCGAAATCGCAAGGTGAACACAAGAAGGGTACGGTAAGAGCTCGTGTGTTCATTCTTGGAAAGCACTTCCGACCACCTGGCCCCAAAAATTCTTTATTACTCGCCAAATACACATGGAATAGATAGAGATAACAGGCAGATTGGGGCAGAGGAAATACAGATTCTCTGTCCTCATGTTTCGAATCGCCTTGGAGACGGCGATGAGGGAGAGTGGGCCATATAGGGTGGATGTCGTCGGGGGTGAAGTGGGCCATATGCGGGGGTATTGATCTGAAAACTATTCTCGTCGTGTTCATCTCCGATATGCACTAATAGACGCGCGAGTCACCCACCATATACTTGTGCTGTAGTTGGGTTGTCGGACGGGCTATTTGGCATCATTTCACTTCTTGGATTCGCTGGAATAAGGGGGAGCCTATCAAGCAGTGACTTTGGCATTTTCGGGGGGACGACTTTTGCTCGTAAGTCGAGATTGTTGAACGGTTATTTACTGTATTCCGAGATTCTACAATTCTACAATATTTTGCCTGAAATAAAAAGTTATTTGATTCGATCCATTTCCCGCAAAATTATCCTAACTCGGCTTAGCGGTAGTTAATTTAGGTTTCAACAATTTCTGTTAACAATTGTAGTAATTTCATCGCGTTTTTTTAATAAAGAAACTCGGCGTGAAAAACATCTGAAAAATGCTGCCGTTCCGATTAAAATGCAATTTTAAGCAGCTTTTTATGAGATTGTAGGGATCGGAAGATGCTCAAAACCTAATTACAATTAAAAAAATTATGATTAGCAACAAGGCCTCCACAAAATTAAAAATTCCACCTTGTTTCCCCCGCTAACGCCAAACATCGGATGGCTTGAGTGCCGTTTCCTCCCCCCCCCCCCCCGCCCCCCGAGCCGACTTCCCACCTACCGTATCTCGGCTCACCGTGATATTGTACTGGGGTGTCAGGGATAGCAAAATGATCGCAAGCAGGGTTGTTCACCGATGGACCCGGATCGGTAAGGATCCGGATCGGATCTGGATCCGGATCCGGATCGGATCCGCAGTCGGATCCGGATCCAGATCCAGATCCGGATCCGCTCGGATCCGGATCCAATGCGGATCCGAGGAAAAAAGGGACCGGAAGTAATATTCTCGATTCTGATGCTGATTCGGTCATGTTAATCGCAAAAAATACATAGCCCAGAGGCAGAACTGAAATTTGCATCTAAGAATTAGCACTTAACTCGGTTGCATGATCCATTTCTTTGGATCCGGATCGGATCGGATCCGCCCTGGATCTGGATCCGGATCCAGATCCGGATCCAGTCCGATCCGAAAATGACCAACCCTGATCGCAAGAGAAAATAACAAGAAAATTTTGGTATATTTCCCAGGCCTGTACGCTAACGGAAAGCCGAGATGCAAAAGTTAGGGGGTGGGGGGGTGGGGGTGGACAATAAACTTCACCCTTATCCACCGAATTTTATGAAACGCTGATAAGAAACTGAGGGAAGATAAGAAGCCGACGACAAGAAATTACAGGGTGCGTCAAAAAAAAAGAGTGAAGTTTGCACCAAAATATCTCGCTTATCTTTGAGAATCGAAGGTACGTTACCATGCCAGAATGCTTAAATATGTTGGGTATGAAGATTTAAGACAACTTGATTTTTTCGATTTTTGGCGACGTATCAATACAAATGACACCCGAAAACTGTGCGTTCTGGCGCAACTTCGTTTACATTTTTTAGGATTGTTGGTGGTCAAACACTTCGAATTTTTACAGTGTGAGTACCTAAGGTCTGCCCCTACTCAAATCCGGAATTTTGGAATTTTCGAAGGTCGGGTTCGCAAGTTATAGCGTGCTCAAATTTAATATGGAGAAATTTTGTAAAATTCGAATATTACAAAAACCTATGGTGGAAACCTCAAAATAAGCTGTTTTGGCATACCTACAAGCTCTGTACAATCGCACAAACACTTCAAAGAATTTTTTGAGATTAATGAATTTTCAAGTTTTTCAACGACCCCCTGGTCATGGATTTTTTCGAGGTCACGAAACTGAACTTTGGAAAAATATTTCTAAAATTGCAGATAGAATTTCGGTGCTTGCTTTGCTTGGTTGTGTAGGACTGGCGTCCATCTATCACGTAGACAATTTCTAGCTACCGTACCCCTTTGGAAAGGTGCCTTTTAGCGCCTCCAAAACGGTTGGTTCGTGCTCTTTCGCAGACCTTCGTGCCAGTCTCTAAAATTCATTTGCGCGGCTAGAATTATTGTCATACTTTTTATTTAATACCACTTAATGGGCGCATTCTAAGATTATATTTACAAATTTATTGGGCCATCCAATCTCTCAAA